GTTGGTGCCTGGGTCGAGCAGGGGGAACGGTCGGTGACTCAGCGCGGCTTCGGGGCAGACGATGCAGTTGCGCGGGTGTGTTTCGCCTCGTAATTTGGTGCCGTCAAGGCGCAGAAGTGCGCCAGGCGCGAATACACCAGCTTCGATGCAGTTCTTCAGAGTTGTGCGTGAGGGGTGACCTAGGCGCTGGTGCCAGATGGCGTCGTCAGCGCGATCCGGAGGTGCGCATGTAGCGAGCGAGTGCTTCTGCGGGATCCTCTTCAGATGCTTGAGCAGGTGCCACCGCTGCTTCCTCATCTCCTTCGCCTTCTTCGTTCGAAGTCGTCAGCATCAGGGCAAGGAATTCCCTGTCGCGGATGATGGAATAGGGGATGTTGGTCCCAGGGATCGTGCCGAGGACGAAAGTCGGTTCGTGCGACTCAGGGGCAGGTCCATAGACAGTGCGTCGCGGAGTGGATGGTTCGTTGCCCCAATCGATGGTGTCCCAAGGGTCGCGCTCCGGCTGGAGATCAGGTGGAGGTAAGGCAGGTGCAAAGTGGCGCGGTGGGCGACCAAGAGGGACAATCGCAGGTACTGCTGCTTCTTCTTCTTCTTCCCCCCTTTGGTCCTCGCGGGAAGCTTCCCAGCCTTCACCTGAAGTGCCCCAGCCTCTTGTCTCGCCGCCATGTGCGGCGCCCCATCCGCTCGTGTTCTCGCCAGTTGCTGTGCCCCAGCCGCCCGTGTCGCTTGTTCCCCATCCGCCAGCGCTTCCCCACCCCCCTTCATTGGAGGCGCTCTCTTATTCGTTTTCCCAAGCGAGCATTCCACGTGCCTCGGCGAGACTTTTCTGGCGAACCTCCTAAGCTTCACGTCGCGCCAATGCCTCTTCTTGCGCCACCGAGAGTTTCTTCTTTGAGTCACGCCGGTGAGAGTATATCTCTGCTGCCTTTTCCTCGGTGTAGGGTCGTGGTGTGCCGTGTGCGTCGAAGGTGCCGACACCGATGCCGCGAAGCATGCCTTGGAGGTGCTGAGATGCGGGTCCGGGGAGGGGATGTTCCGGTGTGCCGAAGACGACCCGCGTAGCGGTCTCTAGCTCCAGTTGGGATAGTCGCTCCTCGGGTGGTGCTTCCCGCTCTGCTTCTGCGATGGCCGCGAGTCCTCGGCCGGCGATTGCGCTTGTTGAGGACGCCGTCTGGGTCAGGATCGTGCAGCGCCAGCTCATGCGGATGTGGGTGATGTGGCACCCATGGGCGCCCATCTGGGTGCTTCCAGTCCCGGCAATGGATGTGTTCGAAGCGCAGGGGGACAAGGTCAATCAGCTCCTGCGAATCGCCGCTGCAGTCGGGAATATCGAAGTCGAGAACATACACTCCGTTCTCGGCGTGTGCTCGTCCGATCTGCTTGCGCATCTTATTCGTCATCGTGAAGTGGAGCAGGATGTCGCGCGTCTCGGGGTCGGTGCTGAGGATGACTCCGCAATCCATGAGCTGCGCCGCCGAGAGCAGGTTGAAGCGCAGGTTCTGCACAATCAACACGTCATTCAAGGTGATGTGCGTTCTGCTCCTACGTGCCTTGAGCATGACGATGCCTTGCGCGCTAGCGCGCAGTCGCGTGTTTTTCGCCACGGTGACGTAGGTGACGGCGGGGGTGGCGACGGCGTTGGATATGTAACGCTCAGAGCCCACCATGTGCTGCCAGCAGCTATCTAGGTACCACGTGTTGTAGCGCCTGTTGTCATTACGCGCGAGCAGCGCCAATCGCGGGGTAACGATGTGTGGTGTGTCAACTTTGAGGAATTGTTCGCGCGCGATCCAGTCGATCGGTGCCCGCCGCATATCAGGTACGTGCGGGGGGCTTTCAAGCAGTGGAACTGGAAGATTCCAGTCTTGTTTGTCGTCGTCGCTGAAGTCGTGACGCGTGCTGAACGGGTTGTTGTTCGAGAACGCTCCGATTGGGTGAGGCACCGGCTCAGGTGATAGTAAGCGCGCGCGCGGGCGACGTGATCCGCTTGTCATTGTCATGTTTCCCATGACATTGCGGACGGGGGCAGTCTGTGACGGCTGCTGCTGCTGCTGCTGCTGCTGAACTCTTGGGTTCAGGTTGCGCGATGGGGGTTGATACCCCTGGGCGGGACGCGTGTCGTTCCGTGCATCTTGTCGGCCGGACCAGTTGCTCGGATTGGTCTGGCAAGGGCGAGATCGGAACTTGCATCGATCTGCCAGGTGCCAGAATTTTCTGCAAATCTTGCGTAAAGGCGTCGCGGCCGTCGCTCCTCTCTCTTGTCGGCGTAGAAGGCGAGGCGTTCCCTGTCTCGTCGCGGCGCTGGTCGCTACTGGTCCATATCCCTTTGTTCGACGAGAAGGGCGGCGCAAAGGGCGGCCTCCGAGATGACCCCCTGCTGTCGGAGAAACGCCTTACAGGGCCGCCACCCCGGGCCGAGCCCTTGGAGCACAATGTTTACGAATATCTCCTCAGAGATTGTGCTCCCCAGTTTCGCGATTTGATCGCGTAAGCTCCGGCAGCGATTCATGTAGCTGTTGGCCTTCTCTCATGGTGCCATGGTGGTCTCCAGTAGCTACTGGAGCAGGCGGCTCGACGACACCGAGTCCTTTGGTTGATACACACCGTTCAGGTGAGGGCTGGAGCAGGCGAAGTTTTGTATGAAAGAATGCTCAATTGCTCCGTCGGCGACATATTTCGCAGAAGAACCCCGTACGCCATCAGGGACTCGTTGTAGTACTTAGTCCTTGCGTCGTCAGTGTCCTCCGCAGGTCCCGAGTAGCTCTCATCGAAGTAGTGAAAAATCTGCGCGTTTTGCAGCAGCAGCTCCAGCTCGAAGCTCCAAGTATAGAAGTCTCTGCCGTCAAAGCACACACTTGTCTTTATTTTTGCTATGCTCAGGAACCTTAATTGCGCAGAGAGAATTGTTTCATCGCTGGGACCGGGAGTCTTGGGTGTTGAGCCATTTGTGTCGAGAGAGAAGGTGTGCGGGGCGGAGTTCTGGCCATTCGAGGCCGGTTGAGTGGGTTGGGAGGATGTTCCTACGTCTCCATTTTGCAATGTTTGGAGCCCTTGCTCCAGACTTGTGAGTCGCTGAAGCAATTGTGCGAGGACGGCGGAAGGGATCGTCGTCGTTTCCTCGCTTGTCGCAGCCCGGTTGGGTTGCGCTTTAGCCGTCAGATTTGTCTTACCTCCAGATCCTCTGGCCATTCTCACACGCGAGTGTGTGCCGGACGCCACTTTCCGTTCGCCAAAAGTTTCGGAGGTGGCAGTGCGAAGGATTCCCGAGTCGCTCTCATACCATGCTGCGATCAGATGTTGATCGAACTCAGGATCACCTTAGGAAGGTTTGCACACTACTGATCTAGTGTTGGTGGGCCCTTGACCTCAATAGCAGAGTGAATGTAAATGCTTGAGATGAATTAAAACATGCAATTACAAGGAATATAAATAAGAGTACAGGGGAATTCGAATCGACCTAGCTAGCCGTGTACTCTTAGGGGTACATTCCCTTATTACAGCGAAATCCAACCGTGCGACTCCGGGTGGTTACGAAACTGTTCGGGCAGAATCCTTGCCACTGCTGCTGCCTGATGCTATTTTCCCGACGGTCCAGTTGTTTTCGTAACCGCGCGACCTTTCGTATTGCTTCCGCCCTTTCGACTTCAACCTCGGTAGTGCGTTCTTCGCTTGCTGCGGTGAGGAGTGCACAGTGATGTTTCAATAATCACTATTTGTGACAATTTTAGGCAGGGAACAGCAGGTATGATACACAGCAAATGGCAAGAATGCGTGTTAGGTGGTAGCACGAGAGTGGACTTGAAAGTTTGTTTTTGCACATTCTTATGAAGAATGTTGCGTTTCTGAGTTGGTAGGTGTTTGCAAAGACGTGTGTTCCCATTGCATTTACAAAGTGTCTGCGGGAAATTTATTTTGTGTTACAATCCCAAGTGGGACTTAGCAAAGAATCGCTCAGGGTTGATCGCAGAGTAGTGTTTGCAGCGGAAGATTTGAATCTCAGGTCAGAGTGAATGTAAATGACTGAGTTGATAATAGCATGCATACATCGAGTTTATATAAGAGTACAGAGGAATACGAAAAGACCTAGACTAGCCATGTACTCTAAGGGGTACATTCCCTTATTACAACAAATTCAAACCGTGCGGCACGGGAACCCGTTTTGAACCTGTTCCCGCTCTTTTCATTTCAAATGTTTTCTGCCTGCATCGGTCTTGGTCTGACGGTTGCTACGTCGCTTCGACTCTTCTGACTCCTCGACTTCGTACTCGGTAGAGTCGGCTCCTGCAGCATACAGGAATGCCTTACTCATAAATCTTCATATCGTAACATTTTGTATGCACATGAACCCACTGAGATCAAGGTGTCTTGTGCTGGGTAGGTTGACAAGTTGGATGTTTCTTCCTTTACCACTCCGAATACAGTTTTTCGCATTCTATTCTGAACTTCATCGCTTGCAACGAATTGCCGATCGGATCCAACACGTCACGTTATTATCGCGTACAGCTGCTTGTACCAAATTTATGATGCGCCACTCCCTCCAATAATCCCTACACATCATCGCTGCAAGGCATGGAGTCCGAACCAAATCAGCACCAAAGCGTGAGCGTCAACCTAGTAAAAGCAGCATGCCGAGATTCCAGGTAGCAGACTGGCCCAGAGCAGCAGCCAGTTTTGTTTCCCTGGAGCAGACTGGCTTAGTGGTTCCTTGCTTACGGGTTATAGTAGTGTTTTCAAGCTGTTTTTGGATGGTTTACTTTTTTTTGAGTTGCGCAGAATTCATTGGCTAGCAGGCGTTTGGTTGCGAGATGCGATTAGAACCACTGCCATTCGACGGGTGCTAGGTTCAGTATAACAGAGTTGATTGTCTCATGATCACGACGGGTACTAGGTTGTGCCTTAGGAAGACAGCAGTTAGGTACTGGATATTTACGTGAAAGGCATTCACGAGAGAGAAAGCCGATCAGAGAGGTGAGGAGTCGTCCGCTCAGAGATAAGACGCTATGGATTCGGGGAGAGCTGATGTCAGCATGGGGTTTGTGGAGGCGGAGGATTTCGGGCAGCACGTGGACTTGACGCAGCGGATTCGCGAAGTGCTCGCGAATTACCCCGAGGGTACCACGATTCTCAAGGAGCTGATTCAGAACGCCGACGACGCTGGCGCTTCCAAGGTTCGTTAGGATCCGAGTCATCTCTCTTTGGAAAAGCCAGATGGTTGATTCCTGATTCAATCTCGAGGGTTCCACGACTCTCAAGGAGCTGATCTGATTCAGAACGCCGACGATGCTGGCGCTTCCAAGGTTCGTTATGATTTCGTTGACGCCAGAACAATTCTGAGGTATTATGCTGATGGGTTAAATTAGATGCTTAAAGAGATTGACGGGCGGACTTAACCAGATGCCTGATGGCGTTGACCTACTTGACCAGATGCCTGATGGCGTTGACCTACTTGATTAGATGCCTGATGGCGTTGACCGACTTGACCAGATGCCTGATGGCGTTGACCGACTTGACCAGATGCCTGATGGCGTTGACCGACTTGACCAGATGCCTGATGGCGTTGACCGACTTGACCAGATGCCTGATGGCGTTGACTGACTTGTCCAGATGGCTGATGATGCCTCCTCTGCCCTGCACTCTTCACCCAATCCATCCCCAATCCAACAGGTCTCCTTTCTGCCTGGACCATCGCACGCACGGCTCGGGATCGTCTCGTCTACGCGCCCCTCGCCCAGTTCCAGGGCGCTGCGCTGCTCGTTTCAGATGAGGATTTGGCTTGATGCGCCTTCATCCCTCTCGCATCCGCTCCGCACTCCACTCCCCAGTTCTCCAATCTCCCCAATTCCCAATAACCCCGATTCCCCAACTTCCGCCTCCAGGTGTCCTTCTGTCTGGACCATCCCACGCATGGATCGGCATCGCTCGCCTACGCGCCCCTCGCCCAGTGCCAGGGCCCTGCGCTGCTCGTGCACAACGACGCTGTCTTCTCGGATGAGGACTTTCCCTGATGCTCCTCAAGCATCCTCTCATCCCCTCTCCACTCCCCAATCCTCTATCTCCCAATTTCTTGATCCCCGATTCCCCCCAATCCATGGTACTCTAAACACCAATCCTCGTATCCCCAATCCCCGGTGTCTGACCGCCTCCAGGTGTCCTTCTGTCTGGACCATCGCACACACGGCACGGCGTCGCTCGCCTCCACGCCTCTCGCCCAGTTCCAGGGCGCTGCGCTGCTCGTGCACAACGACGCTGTTTTTTCGGATGAGGATTTTGCAAGCATCTCACGGGTGGGAGACAGCGGCAAGCGCAAGCAGTCCTGGAAGACGGGCCGATTCGGGTGAGCGGGTTTCCATCCATAACATGTATCAAGTGTGACAAATGCGCTGCTGCTCGTGCACAACGCCGCCCGCCGCCTTCTCAGACGAGGACAGTGCGAGCATATCATCAAGAGTCGAGTCGGGGACAGCAGCAAGCGCAAGCAGTCCTGGAAGACGGGCCGTTTTGGGTGGGTTGGTGTCTATGACAACTATTCAGCGTGCCACATGCACTGCTGCTCGTGCACAACGATGCCGCCTTTCTAGATGAGGACTTTGCGAGGATCTCGCAGGGTGGGGGACAGCGGCAAACGCAAACAGGCTCGTTGGCTCGGGTGGGTAGGCTTATAATCAGGTAAAAAATGACGTTTCACGTTTGCTGCTGGTGCAAATTTCATTCATGCTGCTTCAGTGTCGCCTCTCACCCTCATTTCATCCCCGTGGAGTGAAACTATATCACATCCTCATCTCACAGACGTCCCTTGTCTCATCCCCTCTTCTTTTTTTCCAACTTCCCTTTCTGCGTTCCACTGCCTTCCTTCATTTTCCTCCCCACCCCACCCTTTTCCCTCCCCTCCCCTTCTGTCCCGTCCTCCACTCCCTCCCTCACTTCTCCCCAACTCAGTCTATTATCTCACGGACCTCCCTTCCTTCGTCAGCCGTCAGTTTGTCACCTTCCCTCCCTCCCTCGTCCCACTTCCCATTGTTCCCCCTTCCTCTTCACCCCCCTCCCCACCCCTCATCCCTTCCCCCTCACAGCATCGGATTCAACTCAGTCTATCATCTCACGGACCTCCCCTCTTTTGTCAGCCGTCAGTTCGTCACTTTCTTCGACCCGCACTGCGCCTACCTGCCCCGTGTCTCCGCAGCCAATCCGGGCAAGAGAATAGATTTCGTCGCTGCCCGAGCGGCGATGGCAGCGCAGCGGGACCAGTTCTCCCCGTACTGTGCATTCGGGTGCGACATGCAGAGGCCGTTTGCGGGGACGCTGTTCCGGTTTCCGCTGCGGACGGAGGAGCAGGCGGGGAAGAGCAAGCTGTCACGGCAGGCGTACAATGCAGCTGACATGGCGGCTCTGTTGAGGGAGTTTGAGGTGCGTTTGTGTGTGTGTGTGTGTGCGTGCGTGCGTGCGTGCGTGCGTGCGTGTGATTAGTGGCAATTCTTTGCTCTGCTGGATAGGTAGATGATTTTTGGGTGCGACATAGGGACGCTGTTTCAGTTCCCGCTCGCGGGAGGGACGGAGGAGGAGGCGCTCGCGGGTGAGCAAGCTGTCAAGGCAGGCGTACGATGCCGCGAGGTGACTTTTGAGTCGACTCAAGAGTCACCTAGCAGGCGCTCGCGGGTGAGACGTCTCAAAGGAAGCTGTCAAGGCAGGCGTACGATGCCGCTAACATGGCTGCTCTGTTGAGGGTGTTCTTAATGCTTTCTTTCTTCCCTTCTCCTCCATACTCACGTTCCCTGTCTTCCCAAGCCGATCACTGCTCTTCCTCAAGCACGTGGAGCGAGTGGACGTGTTGGAGTGGTGTCAGGGAAAGTCGTGCCCTTATCCACCTCACCCTCCCTCCCTCCCTCCCTCCTCCTTGTAGGCCGAGGCGGTCTCGTCGCTGCTCTTCCTCAAGCACGTGGAGCGAGTGCACGTGTTGGAGTGGCATCAGGGAGTGTTTCGAGAACCCTGTTTCTTCCCTTCCTCCCGGTGCTCACCCCCCCGTCTTTCCAGGCTGAAGCAGTCTCCTCTTTGCTCTTCCTCAAGCACGTGGAGCGAGTGGACGTGTTGGAGTGGCATCAGGGAGTTTTTCGAGAACCCTGTTTCTTCCCTTCCTCCCGGTGCTCACCCCCCCGTCTTTCCAGGCTGAAGCAGTCTCCTCTTTGCTCTTCCTCAAGCACGTGGAGCGAGTGGACGTGTTGGAGTGGCATCAGGGCGCCACCGCCCCCGCACCTCTCTTCTCCTGCCGCATCTCCTCCCCCGACTCCCCCCTCCGCTTCCACCGCCAAGCCTTCTCCCGCCTCGCGCGCCCTGCTGCTGCTTCTGGTGCTACTGCTGGTGCTGCAGCGCCTGGGGCGTCAGGGGCTGGAGGGGGGGCAGGGTCAGGGGTGATTTTCAGTGAGAAGGACAGCACGGATTTTTATGAGATTGGGTTCGTTTGCGAGTCGTTTTCCCCGGGAAGTGCCCCTGAAACTGCTGGAGGGACTAAGGAGGCGGCTGGGGTGGGTGAGAAGGGGGGAGGGAGGAGGGAGGAGCGGTACTTTGTGTCTCAGAGGATGGGAGGGGCGTTGGGTGCGGTGGGGCGCATGGCAAGGCGAGCAGCGGAGGAGTATGATATTCACCTGGTGCCGTGGGCGTCTGTGGCTGCTAGAGTGGGCTGTGAAGGAGACACACCAGACGCACCGGGCGCCTCTTTCCAGGTGAGATTGAAAATGGCATGGCGAAGCGAAAAGCAGCGGAGTATGATATTCGCCTGGTGCCGTGGGCGTCTGTGGCTAGGAGTGTGAGGGGGGCGTCTGTGGCTAGGAGTGTGAGGGGGGCACTGACGCACCAGATGCACCCGAGGCTCATTTCCAGTCCAGGTGAATGTCCGCTCGTTTTCTCTTCCGACCTCCGTTCCTTGCTTTCCGCCCGTCGTTCCCCACCTCCGTGCTTGTCCTTCTTTCTTCAGAGCCGCCCATCTGCGTCCTGCCTCTCCCAGTGCGTTCCAATCCAACCTTGCAATGCACTGGGAGAGGCAGGAAGCAGATGGGCGGCTCAACTGCTTATCTGCCGCACATCAACAGCCGCGTTGCTCTCTTGTTCAGCATCCTATTTCCCCCTTGTTCCGCTCTCCCTGGTAACCTCCCCAGTCAATTGAATCCCAGGGCCGGGCCTTCTGCTTCCGCCTCTCCCAGTGCGCCCCAACCTCTCAGTGCATACCAACGACCACTTTCAGTTCTCCTCCAGCGTTCTTACCCATCGCCACCTCCCCATTCCCCCCCGCTCTGCCCTCTGTCTGTCTATCACCATCCCCATGCCAGGGCCGGGCCTTCTGCTTCCTGCCTCTCCCAGTGCGCCCCAACCTCCCAGTGCACATCAACGGCTACTTTGAGCTCTCCTCCAATCGCCGAGATATTTGGTTCGGCGAGGATATGGACAGAGCAGGCCGCCTTCGCTCCCAGTGGAACGCCGCCCTGCTGCAGCTCGTTGCCGCCCCGGCGTACCTCGATCTGATTCTCGAAGCCGCCCAGCGAATCGGGCCGCGAGCGGAGTATTTTGGACTGTTTCCCGCGGGCCCCACCTCGGAGCCCTGGCTTGGGATGGTCGGGCAGCTGTACAAAAGTTTCGCAAAGCTGCCCGTTTTGTATTCCAGAGGCCCTCAGGAGTTGCTAGCTGGGGTTGGGGCAGGTGGAGCTGGTGCTGTTACTGGTTTGACTGGTCCTGCTGCCGGTGCTGCTGCTGCGGGTGGTGGTGCTGGTGGTATTGCTGGTTTAATGGTGAGGGTGGGAGGAGGATCAAAGGGCGAAGCAGCTTATAAAGGGGACGGAAGCTGGGTGTCTCCTGCCACTGCTGTGTTCAGCGATGAGGAATTCCGCGATCCAGATGGCTTGGAGCTAGCTCTGGTTCAGGAGGGCCTGCCGATCGTCCGCGCCTCGCCGAACCTCCGGGAGATGCTCTTCCGGTGGTCCGTTTCCGAGCCTAGAATCACCATTCCTAGCGTGGTTCGGGCAAGGTTGAAAACGCCAGGTGTCCACAGGGGATTGGAGAACAGAGAGGACGCGTTACTGCTGTTAGAGTATTGTTTAGGGGATGTGGTAGATGATGAAGCTGCAGAGGAGCTGGATGGGCTTTTGCTGGTTCCTCTGGCGAATCAGAGCCTGGGGAGGTTTGAGAGAGTGGGGGTAGTTGGGAGAGAAATAGTTGTAGCTGCGTGGGAGAGAGGAGGGGAGGGGGAGAGAGGAGGAGGAGGAGGAGGAGGTGGAGGAGGAGGAGGAGAGGGAGGGGAGAGGTGGAAGGGGAGGAGGAGTGTGGAGTATGAGTTACTAAAGGACAGGGCGGGAGGGAGAGTAGTGGACCTAATGGGTGTGAGGGAGGATGTGTATGAGCGTCTGAGGAACATCGCACTCTCTCCCTCTGCAGGCAATCTCTCCCCACTCACTCCCTCACTCCTCCTTCGCCTGCTCCAGTCCCTGCTTCCCCCCGACTGGTTCGGACAGGACGAGGTTCCCTGGTTCGGCAGCGTCTCCGAACCTGCTGGTTCGGGGAAGCGCGCGCTTTCAGCGGCTGTGGCGCCGCCGTCTGTCCGATGGGTCGGGCTTCTTTGGCAGTATCTGGCTGCCAGCTGTAAGGTTTTGACCGCGTTTTCCGGTTGGCCGCTGCTGCCGACGAAACAGAAGACACTGTGTGCGCTGGAGAAGGGACGGTCTAGGGTGATTTTGGTTGAGGAGGAGGAGGGGGTGGAGGGGGTGGAGGGGGAGGGGAAGGAGAGAAAGGAAGAGGGCGAGGGGAAGGGACGGGTTTTGTCGGCAGGTGGCGGTTTTCATGCAATTTCGGGGTTGCTGGTGAGGCTGGGCTGCCGTATTCTCTGGAGGAAACTCCCTTCTGGTGTGGCGGAGGTGGGGCATGTGGGGGAGGGTGGGGATGTGCAGGGGGAAGCTGTGAATGGGGAGGCTCTGCAGGTGGCGCATCCGCATCTGCACGAGTTTGTGCGGCCAGCCACAGGGGCAGGTGTGTTGGACGCTCTGCAGTCAGCAGCAGACTGGCATGGAGTGCCCTTTGCCATGCTCTTCCAGATGGCTGAGACCGCTCTTGATAAAGGTTCTCCTTCTGCTGCCGCTCCTCCTGGTGCTGCTGGTGCCCGTGGTGGTGGTGCTGCTGGTGTGGCTGCCCCAGCTGGTAGGACAGCTTCGGGTGGCTTGCTGTCCGAGGCTGCAGTCGAGGCTCGGCGCCAGCTTCGGGAGTTCCTGTGCTCGCCGCAGTGGTACGCTGGGAATGCAATGACGGAGGCTCGGCGCGTGCGGATCTTCAAGTCTCTGCCCATCTTCGAGGTCTACAGCAACCACCCTTCCACCCCCCCCACCAGTAGCAGCAACAGCAACAGCACCAACACCACAACTACCAGCACCATCAGCAGCAGTAGCAGTGGAAGCACCACGGGCACCAACCCGACCGCCATCCATGCCTCCCTCCCTCTCTTTGTCGACCTGTCATCCCCATCCATTCAGCGCTATCTGGCACCCTCAGGGGTGGAACCAGCCCTGCTAGGCGAGTCCTTCCTTTGCCCCTCAGACGACCGCGAGGCTGCAGTGCTCTCCCGCGCCCTTGCCATCCCCACGCTCCCCCGCCCGGCGTTTTTCAAGATGCAGGTGCTCGCTAGGGTCCAAACGCTGCCGCCCGGGCTGCGAAACAGGACGATGCTTGCCGTGCTGCAGGAGCTGCCGCAGCTGTGCACTGCGGATCCGGGGTTGCGGGATGTGGTGGCGAATCTGGCGTTTGTGCCAGCGTGGGATGGGAAAGGGGATGGGCGACAGCAGCACAAGGTGCAGCAGCAGGAGGAGGTGGAGGGAGGGGAAGTAGCAGGCGCATCAGCAGTAGGAGCAGCAGGAGGGCCAGGTGCGGCAGGTGCACCTGAGATGGATTCAGATGTAGGAAATGAGACGCTTTGCCGCCCAGTGGATCTCTATGATTCTCGCAACCCCGAGCTCTGCCACCTGCTTCAAGGAATGGCTGGCAACTGGTTCCCCGCCGCCCCGTTTTCGTCCTCTTCTGCCCTTGAGATGCTACTCAGCGTGGGGCTCCGCAGTGCGGTTACCACCGAAACCATTCTCAGCTGTGCTCGCGCTGTGGAGAGCATTGCCGCTACAGATGCGGCTGTAGCGCGGGTGCGCGGGCGGGTTCTTTTGTCCTATCTGGACGTGAACGCGGCAAGATGGGTGCCTGTGGCGCAGGGGGGAAGCGCAGGGGCAGGGGGGGTAGGGGGGAGAAGAGGCATGGGGGGCGGAGGCGGGGGAGGGGGAGGAGGGGGAGGGGCAGGAGGGGGTATGTTTGCACGTGTATCGAGCCTGTTCCAGAGCAGTGAAGCAGCGGAGGAGGCTCAGCGCGCAGCAGCTGAAATGGCCTCGTTTTGGAACGAGCTGACCTCGATCTCCTGGTGCCCTGTGCTCGTTCCCTCCCCTGCCCCGCCCTTCCTGCCTTGGCCAAGGGGAGGGGAGGCAAATGCAAGTAGCGAGGAAGAAAACGTATCAGGCGGGACAGGAGGTAAAGGGAGGGGAAGAGAGAGGGCAGACGAGTCTCGGCCTAGCCCCGTCGCTCCTCCTCGCATCGTCCGCCCACAGATCGACACCTGGCTTGCGTCAGCCAGCCTCCGGATCCTGGACGGCGAGTGCCGCTCCACGCTGATGTGGCGCCAGCTAGGATGGGCGCGGCCGCTGACGGGGAGTGTGCTGGCGGCGCAGCTGCTGGAGCTGGGGCGCGTGTGTGGCGCGGAGGTGGCGGATAGGGGCGCGGGGAAGGCCCTGGCGGGGGCAGTGCCGAGGATATACACGATGCTGTCGGACATGCTGGGGCAGGAGGAGATGGAGGTGGTCAAGGCGATTCTTGAGGTGAGTGCGTCGCAGGGCAAGGTTTCCAGGAGGTGGGTGGGTCTGTCAGAGTACGGGCCGATCTCCATGGTGCTGCTCGTTAGATATGCTGGGGCAGGAGGAGATGAAGGTGGTAAAAGCCGTAAAAGCCGTGATCCTTGAGGTGAGCATTTCTCAAGAAAAAGCCTATAGTTATCTCTTTCTATTCTTGAATGCAAGGAAGACTTCTGCCCGTTCCCTAGCTGCTGCGTGGATATGCTGGGACCTGGGTCAGCGCAGGAGGAGGAGATGAAGGTGGTGAGAGCCTTCTGTAGGTGATCCATTCGGTGGTGTCCATTCTCCAAGCACATCTTAACGAGAAAAGGGTGCACCTGAATTCTCCACCAACTTGCTTCTCTCCCGTTCCCTCTTTTTCCATTGCCTTTGCTCCCACCCCCCTCGTTCCCTGCTTACCTCTCATCATGCGATCCCAACCTTGCTGTCTTCCGAGACCTCCTGCTCGCCTGGGCGTGCACCGCTTAGGGGGAATGACCTGCTCACCTGGGCGTGCACCGTGTAGGGGGAATGACCTGCTCGCCTGGGCGTGCACCGCGTAGGGGGAATGACCTGCTCGCCTGGGCGTGCACCGCGTAGGGGGAATGACCTGCTCGCCTGGGCGTGCACCGCGTAGGGGGAATGACATGCTCGCCTGGGCATGCACCGCGTAGGGGGAATGACCTGCTCGCCTGGGCGTGCACCGCGTAGGGGGAATGACCTGCTCGCCTGGGCGTGCACCGCGTAGGGGGAATGACCTGCTCGCCTGGGCGTGCACCGCGTAGGGGGAATGACCTGCTTGCCTGGGCGTGCACCGCGTAGGGGGAATGACCTGCTCGCCTGGGCGTGCACCGCGTAGGGGGAATGACCTGCTCGCCTGGGCGTGCACCGCGTAGGGGGAATGACCTGCTCGCCTGGGCGTGCACCGCGTAGGGGGAATGACCTGCTCGCCTGGGCGTGCACCGCGTAGGGGGAATGACCTGCTCGCCTGGGCGTGCACCGCGTAGGGGGAATGACCTGCTCGCCTGGGCGTGCACCGCGTAGGGGGAATGACCTGCTCGCCTGGGCGTGCACCGCGTAGGGGGAATGACCTGCTCGCCTGGGCGTGCACCGCGTAGGGGGAATGACCTGCTCGCCTGGGCGTGCACCGCGTAGGGGGATTGACCTGCTCGCCTGGGCGTGCACCGCGTAGGGGGAATGACCTGCTCGCCTGGGCGTGCACCGCGTAGGGGGATTGACCTGCTCGCCTGGGCGTGCACCGCGTAGGGGGAATGACCTGCTCGCCTGGGCGTGCACCGCGTAGGGGGAATGACCTGCTCGCCTGGGCGTGCACCGCGTAGGGGGAATGACCTGCTCGCCTGGGCGTGCACCGCGTAGGGGGAATGACCTGCTCGCCTGGGCGTGCACCGCGTAGGGGGATTGACCTGCTCGCCTGGGCGTGCACCGCGTAGGGGGAATGACCTGCTCGCCTGGGCGTGCACCGCGTAGGGGGAATGACCTGCTCGCCTGGGCGTGCACCGCGTAGGGGGAATGACATGCTCGCCTGGGCATGCACCGCGTAGGGGGAATGACCTGCTCGCCTGGGCGTGCACCGCGTAGGGGGAATGACCTGCTCGCCTGGGCGTGCACCGCGTAGGGGGAATGACCTGCTCGCCTGGGCGTGCACCGCGTAGGGGGAATGACCTGCTCGCCTGGGCGTGCACCGCGTAGGGGGATTGACCTGCTCGCCTGGGCGTGCACCGCGTAGGGGGAATGACCTGCTCGCCTGGGCGTGCACCGCGTAGGGGGATTGACCTGCTCGCCTGGGCGTGCACCGCGTAGGGGGAATGACCTGCTCGCCTGGGCGTGCACCGCGTAGGGGGAATGACCTGCTCGCCTGGGCGTGCACCGCGTAGGGGGAATGACCTGCTCGCCTGGGCGTGCACCGCGTAGGGGGAATGACCTGCTCGCCTGGGCGTGCACCGTGTAGGGGGATTGACCTGCTCGCCTGGGCGTGCACCGCGTAGGGGGAATGACCTGCTCGCCTGGGCGTGCACCGCGTAGGGGGAATGACCTGCTCGCCTGGGCGTGCACCGCGTAGGGGGATTGACCTGCTCGCCTGGGCGTGCACCGCGTAGGGGGAATGACCTGCTCGCCTGGGCGTGCACCGCGTAGGGGGAATGACCTGCTCGCCTGGGCGTGCACCGCGTAGGGGGAATGACCTGCTCGCCTGGGCGTGCACCGCGTAGGGGGAATGACCTGCTCGCCTGGGCGTGCACCGCGTAGGGGGATTGACCTGCTCGCCTGGGCGTGCACCGCGTAGGGGGAATGACCTGCTCGCCTGGGCGTGCACCGCGTAGGGGGAATGACCTGCTCGCCTGGGCGTGCACCGCGTAGGGGGATTGACCTGCTCGCCTGGGCGTGCACCGCGTAGGGGGAATGACCTGCTCGCCTGGGCGTGCACCGCGTAGGGGGATTGACCTGCTCGCCTGGGCGTGCACCGCGTAGGGGGAATGACCTGCTCGCCTGGGCGTGCACCGCGTAGGGGGAATGACCTGCTCGCCTGGGCGTGCACCGCGTAGGGGGATTGACCTGCTCGCCTGGGCGTGCACCGCGTAGGGGGAATGACCTGCTCGCCTGGGCGTGCACCGCGTAGGGGGAATGACCTGCTCGCCTGGGCGTTCACCGCGTAGGGGGAATGACCTGCTCGCCTGGGCGTGCACCGCGTAGGGGGAATGACCTGCTCGCCTGGGCGTGCACCGCGTAGGGGGATTGAGGATCCCTCACAACCTCTTACAAAACAATCCAACCTGCTTTTTCCCCCATGTTTCTCTTCTTCCCCTGCCAACCCCCCAGGGCTGCAGGTGGGTGTGGGTGGGAGACGGTTTCTGCTCCACCACAGAATGCGCCTTCTCCGGTCCCATCCACCCACCTCGCGCCCAACCTCCGCATCATCCCGGCCAACCTTGCCGCCTTTCGAGGCCTCCTGCTCGCCCTGAGGGTGCACAGCTTTTGGGGGGAATGAGAAGCCCTCACAGGCTCAGAGAAAACAATTGAGCCTGATTATTCCTCTGTGTCCCTCTTCTCCCCCTGCCCCCCCAACCCCAGGGCTGCAGGTGGGTGTGGGTGGGAGACGGTTTCTGCTCCACCACAGAGTGCGCCTTCTCCGGTCCCATCCACCTCGCGCCCTACCTCCGCATCATCCCCGCCGACCTCGCTGCCTTCCGAGACCTCCTGCTCGCCCTGGGGGTGCGCGAGTGCCTCTCGGGGAATGAGTACGCCGCTGTGCTTGCGAGCATCGCTAAAGACGCGCAAGGCCGCCCGCTCGCGCCGCGCCAGCTGGCGGCTGCTGTCTGGCTGGTGCAGCATCTGGCGGATCTGCAGTTTGATTCCGGGGCGGCGGGCGGGGGAGGCGGGGTAGGAGCGGGCGGAGTGGGGGGTGGGGGAGGGGGAGGAGAAGGAATGGGGGTTGTTGCGAGGGGAGGAGGGGGAGGGAGAGGAGGAGGCATGGTGTATGTGCCAGACGCACAGGGAATTCTAGTGCATGCCTGTGAGCTTGTGTATAACGATGCTCCCTGGTTACCCCAGTTCATGCGCTCGACTCCCCACTCTCCTCCCTCCTCTCCTTCCGCCGCTCCTTCCGACGCTCCCTCCCCTCCCACTTCCACTCCCTCCTCTCACCATGCCTCTGCGGCAAACCCAGGCTTCCCAAGCAGCCACGCAGGCTCGGCGGCACCGCCCGAACCTACCCTCCAGGTTCGGTTCGTCCATGCCAAGATCTCCAACGACGTGGCAGACAGGCTCGGCGTCCGATCCTTGCGTCGCCAGCTCCTATTGGACAGCGGAGCAGCATCCATGGCTCTCTCCCTCCACGCCTCTGCCTCCTCCCTCTTCTCCCCCACATCCCTAGCTGCTTCTACCGGGGCTGCTTCTAACGGGGATGGGGTGGAGGCGTTCGGGCAGCACGAGGCTCTGACTACTCGTTTGAAGCACATAGTGGAGATGTATCCAGAGGGGCCGGGGGTGCTCTGTGAGTTGGTGCAAAATGCGGATGACGCCGGCGCGAGGGAAGCGGCGTTTCTTCTGGATCACTCCCGATTCGGCGCTTCTTCGGTGCTCAGCCCGCGAATGGCTGACTGGCAGGGGCCGTCTCTGTATGCTTACAACGATGCTGTGTTCTCGGATCGCGATTTGATTGCGATTTCGCGCATCGGGCAGGATAGCAAGCTGGAGAAGCCGAGTGCTATTGGTCGGTTTGGGCTCGGTTTCAACTCAGTCTACCATTTCACCGACGTCCCGGGGTTTGTTTCCGGGCAGAATCTGGTGATTTTTGACCCGCACGCATCGAACCTGCCCGGAATCACGCCCTCCCACCCGGGCCTGAAGATCAGCTTCGTCGGCCGCGGCCTCCCGGACCAGTTCCCGGACCAGTTCCGCCCGTTCCTCCTGTTCGGGTGCGACCTGCAGTCCCCGTACCACGGCACTCTGTTCCGTTTTCCGCTTCGGTCCGAAGCTGCGGCGGGTCGGAGCGAGATCAAGCACGAGCCGTGCTCTCCAGAGGACATCCGGCATCTGTTTAAATCCTTCCAGCGCTCGGCGACAGAAGCGCTGCTGTTTCTGAGAAACGTGGGACGGATTTCGGTTTTCGAGAGGATAGATGCCGGGAGTGAGCCGAAGCTGCTGTTTTGTGCACAGAGAGTAGTTGCTGGTGAGGGGGGGGCGTCAGGAATGCCTTTTGTTTCAGCACTTCCGTCGCCAGGAATGGGTCTGAGGGCCCTGGGGGATTCGGCTGATGGGGGCAGTTTGCAGCGAGCTATTTTCGATTTTGTTCGGGGCAGCCCGCAAAATCCTCTGAATAAGGACCAGTTTTACCACAAGCTGCAGCGGGCAGCTGAAGGGCAGCTGCCGAGGCAATGCGGGCGGATCTCGATTTTAGTGACTGATGGGACGGGACACGTGGCGGCTTCTGATTGGCTCGTGTCGAATGCGCTGGGCGGGGGGCGGGCGAGGGAGTGGGCTGTTGCAGTGGAGAACCGTCCGAGAGGGTTCTTGCCATGGGCCGGCGTTGCTTGTCTTATTCAGTGGGAAGAGGAGGGGAACACCGGGCTGTTGAATCTGATGGGAGTGGGGGAAGAATCAGAGGAAAGCAGAGAAGGGAAAGAGGAGGGTGGTAACCCACAAGAAGAGAAGCGCGGATCAGGTGGGCTAGGAGGCAGCTCCGAGGATACAGGTAAGGAAAGAACGAGGCTGCAAGGAAGGGCCTTTTGCTTCCTGCCCCTGCCCGTGAAAACGAACCTCCCGGTGCACGTCAACGGCTACTTTGAGCTCTCCTCCAATCGCCGAGACATCTGGTTCGGCGACGACCTGGCAGGTGCGGGCAAGGTTCGGTCTGAGTGGAACCGGCGGCTCCTGGAGGACGTGGCAGCTCCGGCGTACGCTCGGATGCTTGCCGAAGCTACCAAGCAGCTTGGGCACGGGCCTGCGTACCATGCTCTCTGGCCTGGGGCAGGCGCAGGCTCGGGGTTGCGTTCGGGCGTGGATTCTGGCTCGGGTGCGGCTCGGAGGCAGGTTCGGGGAGAGCTGGTGGAGCCTTGGGAATCGCTGGCGAATCGGGTGTATGTGTGTGTGACTGAGCTCGATCTGGGTGTTATCTGGACAGGGGCAGCTGGGGGGAGGTGGATTTCTCCAAAACGGGCTGTTTTTGCAGACACAGGCTACCCAAAAATGGAAGATCTCACAAATATTCTGGTCCGCGCAGGCCTTCCTTTGGCAGATGCTCCGTACCCAGTGGTGGAAAGATTTCGCTCGGCCTGCCCGCAGCTCAGGTTCCTGACTCCAGCGCTCCTCAGAAAGACTCTGATTGGCTCGGGCAGGCAGATTCTTTCGAGCTGCCCGGACGTGGGCCTGGCACTGAACTACTGCCTGAGTGACGTGGACGTGGAAGAAGCTGCTGAGAAGCTTCCAGGCCTCCCACTCATTCCTCTGGCCAATGGTACTGTAGGCGCGTTTTCCAGGATTGACAGTGGCAGCAGCAGCGGCGGCGGCAGCAGGAGGGGTGGGTTGATGAGTGGTGGTGTGATGGGTGGGCATTGGAGCGCTGGGATGATGAAACAGTGGGACTCACGAGCCAAGGCCACAGCCAGCAGCAGCAGGGGGGCCTTTGGAACAGCAGGCAGTGGCAGCAGCGGGGGTGCCGGCAGCTTTGGGGGAGGAGGGGCGGTGAGGCTGATAGTGACTCGGAATGAGGCGGAGTTTTCGCTGCTGCTGCCCAGTGCCGCCCACCTGCTGGTGCACCGACAGCTGGCAGCAGAGCAGGGCGAGGCGTGGGGGAAGCTGCAGGCCATGGCCGGGTGGTGGGAGGAGGGCGAGGGGGACAGGGAGGGGGGTGGTGCGGGGGGAAATGCAGGTGGGGCTGGTGCTGAAGGGGGCATGGACGTTGGAGAGGTGCTAGGGTTTCTGAACGAGACTCAGCAGCAGCAGCAGCAGCAGAGGCGTAGGGAAAGGGCGAATGCAGGGGTGAATCTGGCGGTGGTGTCTGTGCCTGTGCTGGCTGAGCTCATGCCTATGCTGCTGCCAGAGTCCTGGCGCGGTCAGGCGTTTGTTGCATGGCGTGGTGGTGCGGGCGAGGGGGAGAGAGGGAGAGGGTCAAGGGGAGAGGGAGAAGGAGAGGGGGAGGGGGAGGGGGAGGGAGAGGGAGAGGGAGCAGGTGGGTTGCTGATTCAGGCAGACATGAGCGCTGCAGCAGCAGCAGGGGGAGCAGCAGGAGGAGGAGGAGGAGCAGCAGCAGCAGGAGGAGGAGGAGCAGCAGCAGCAGCAGCAGGAGGAGGAGGAGGAGCACGAGGATTCGGTCCTGAAGCGGAAGGGATTGAGTTCTTGGAGTCTGAGGGACCGTCCCTGGAGTGGATTCAGCAGTTCTGGAGCTACCTCTCCTCCTCCGCCTCCGCCTCTCCCACTACCACCGATTCCCACATCCCCACCACCGCCATCACCACCTCCTCCTCGTCCTCCTCTCCCTCTCTTCCCTCTCCACCTCATGCCAGCCTGTCGCTCATCGCTGATTGGCCACTCGTCCCAACCACCAATGGGCAGCTGCGGCAGTTGCAGGCAGGGGGCCCGCTGCTGCGACCGGGGGGAGGGGACGGGTGGAGTGAGAGCATGCTGTCTCTCTTTGCACGCCTGGGCGTGTATGTGGTGCGCAGCGATGTGAATCTGGACCACCCGGGCTTGAGGGAGTATCTTCACGAGGCCTCGGCTGCTGGGATTCTCGACGCCATTGCTGCTGCCGCCGCGAACCATGCTGCTGCTGCTGCGGCTTCTGCCGCCGCCTCTTCTGCTGCTGCAGCGAATAGACGAGCAGTGGGAGTAGGCCTGGCGTCGTCAGATGTTAGAAGAGCAGGAGCAGGAGGAGGAGCAAGAGTAGGGGCGAGAGCAGGAGCAGGTTCATATGGGGTAGGTCTAGCTGTGTCAGTTGACCTTGCTGAGTCAGCAGCAGCCAACCCGTCAGCAGCCTCTGTTGCTGCAGCAGCAGCACTAGTGCCGCATCTAGATGCGCTCCTCTCGCTCTTCCAGGGAGCAACGGACGGGGAGAGGAGAGAGCTGCGCAGCATCTTGTGCCAGTCCAAGTGGTTCCCCCCGACAGATGGCCCTTCCGACTCATCTGCTGCTGCTGCTGCTGGTACGGTTGTTGCACATGCCTTTGGCCTGTCCAGAGGTCTCAAGCATGTTTCAGAACCTGCCCCGTCGCATCCAGGTGGCGTTCTCTCAGAGCGCCACATCAGCATGCTGCGAGCTCTGCCGATCTTCGAGTCTTACGGCACCTGGTCGGCCCCTGAAACCCGGTCAGATGCAGATAAGAAACAGCAAGGGGGTGGTGCTGGCCTCTCCGCTGGCCCCTCCGCTGGCCTCTCCACTGGTCTCTCCGCTGGGCGTGTGTTTGTGGATCTGCTCACAGCTCCCCGCTTCTTCGCCCCGCCATCCATCGACGAGTCGCTTCTCGACGCCTCATTCGTCCGCGTCGACTCCGACAAGGACCACCGAATCCTGCGCTGCCACCTGGCGGTCTCCCCGATCTCCCGCACTGCGTTCTACCTCAACCACCTCTTTCCTCGCATCCGTGCCGCTGCTGCCGCCGCCGCCACCACTGCTACTGCTGCTGCTGCTGCCACTGCCACTCCTGCTGCTGCTGGCGGTGGTGCCGCCGCAGCAGCAGCAAAGGCAACAGCAGCTGCAGCGGCAGCAAGGGGAGGGGTGAAGGGATCAGCGGTGGTGCCGTTGAGTGGAGAGGCGGGGGTGGCAGCGATGGTGGCAGTGGTGAGGGACCTGCCGCGGCTGGCAGAGGAGGACGAGCGGATAGTGAAGGAGCTCAGCAGGCTGCCGTTCCTGCCCACTCCCTCCAGCCTGCTCAAGGCGCCCTGCAGGTATGTTTGGTTCGAGTAGAGTAGAAGCACCAGAGTGAGTCAAAGAGGGATGCTGGAGAGGGGGTAAGATCATGCCCCGGTCGGGGGAGAGGTGGGCAGGGATCAGCAGGGACCTGCCGCGGGATCAGAGGAGGATGAGCGGGTGGTGAAGGAATTCAGCAGGCTGCCGTTCCTGCCCACCCCCTCCAGCCTGCTCAAGGCGCCCTGCAGGTATGTTTGGTACGGGTGGAGACACCGGGGGGTGAGTCAGACAGGAATGCTGGAAGGATAAGTTCACGCCCCAGTGGGGCTGGGGAAGGAGATCAGCAGGCTGGGCCCTTCTTGCCGCCACTGGGGCAACTCAAGAGGCTTGCCACCGTGCGGGTGAGCAGAGGGTCATGGTTGAGCCAAACCTTTCTCTCCGCTCCTTTCTTTCCTCTCCTTTTTTTTCCTCCTCCCCCCCACCCACTCGTCCCCGCCCTCCCCTCTTTTTCCCCCTTCTCTTCTCCCCCTCTGCAGCCTCTACGACCCACGGGTTGCTGATCTCACATCTCTCCTCGACGCATCGCTCTTCTTCCCAGCACCGCCCTTCTCCTCCCCCGCCCTCCTCCCCACACTCCTCTCCCTCGGCCTCCGCTTGCCTCAGCCTGGTCAATCCAAGGGCTTGCAGAGGGGGGAGAGTGGGGAGGGAGTGAAGGGTGACTGAAACCGATTTTCATGTTTTTTCCTCTCTTTTTGCCCTCCTTCCCCCCTCGCCCCACCCCACCCCCCTGCAGTCTCTACGACCCGCGGGTTGCTGATCTCACATCTCTCCTCGACGCATCTCTCTTCTTCCCAGCACCACCCTTCTCCTCCCCCGCCCTCCTCCCCACGCTCCTCTCCCTCGGCCTCCGCACCACCATCGACCGCCGCGCACTGCTCGCCTCTGCCCGGTCTATCCAAGAGGCTTGCCGAGCAGGGGGCGAGGGACAGGGTGCAGCAGCAAGGCAGGGTGTGGCAGTAGGAAGGGGTGGTTCTGATTTTGATCGGTCAGCTAGTCATCGCGGTGAGATCTTGGCTCGAGCGCGTGCCTTGCTGGCACATCTGGATGCGCGCCAGGTGGCGGAAGATCAGTGGAGGAGCCTTGGCGGAGGGAGGGCAGGGGCCGAGGAGGAGCAGGAGGGTCAGGATGGGTTGGGAAGGAGGAGTGGTAGTGGTGGTGGTGGTGGGTTTGATGATGGGTTTCTGGAAGGTGGTGGTGATTGGTCGAGATTGGGTGCGCTGGGTGGCTTTGCCGCCGGGGGATTCAGTGGAGAGGATGGGTATGCGGCTGTGGTGGGGAGGCATAGGGGGAGCGAGGCAGAGTGGGGTGTGGGTGCTGGTGGTGGCATTGCTACTAGTACTGCCGGCAGCAGCAGCACCAGCAGCAGTGGCGGTGGTGGCAGGGGCAGTAGCAGCAGTGGCGGCCGCATTGGTGAAGTTGTGGAGGAGGATATTCCCGAGGATGCTTTTTGGGAGGAGCTGAAGGGGATCTCGTGGTGCCCTGTGCTGCAGAGACCACCGGATTCCGCCCTTGCTACTCCCGGCAGTGGCGGCGGTGGTGTTGTGGTCACTGGGTCTACCTCCAATGACCACAGCAGCACCACTGCCACTCGTGGTACCACTGGCAGCACCACCAACAGCAGAAGTACCGACAACAGGAACAGCAGCAGCAGCGGCAGCAGCAGCAACAGCAGAAGTACCGACAACAGGAACAGCAGCAGCGGTGCCATCCAGCCGCCCTGGAAAGGCAGTCCATCCGGGTTCATGCCGCCCTGCGCCGTCCGGCTGCAGGACGACGTGTGGGTGGTGGGCGGCAGCATGTGCATTCTGGGCGGCGAGGTGCGGTCGGACAGCCTGGCGCGCAAGCTGGGGTGGCGGGACCCCCCGCCTGTGGAGGCTCTGGTGTCTCAGTTGCTTGCTCTGGCTGCTTTGCATGGGTGTGCTGTGGCTGAGAGGAGGGGGCGGGAGGAGAGAGGGGATAGGAGCGGGGAGAGGAGGAGGGAGAAGCGAGGGGTGAGGAGAGGGGAGAGGAGGGGCGGGAGGAGTGAGGGTGAGATTGATGGGGAGAGGAGGAGGGACGAACATGGAGAGGAAATGGAAGGAATAGGAGAGGGGAGAGAGGAGGGAGAGGAGGGTGAGGAGGAGCAGGAGGAGGAGAATGAGGAGGAAGAGGAGGATGAAGTGACAGTGCTGGAACGAATCTTATCAAAAGAAGTCCCGAGAATCTATGCGTATCTGGAACAGCACATGGGCTCTCCGTCCTTTTCTGCCGCCCGGACGTCCTTCCAATCAGTGGCCTGCATTTGGGTCGGCGACACATTCATCGCACCTTCCTCCCTCGCCTTTGACTCGCCCGCCCACTTCCACCCCTACCTCCATGTCGTGCCGACAGAAGCCGCCCGCTTCCGCACCCTGCTGACGTGGCTAGGCGTCAGAGAGACATTCAAGGTGGGGGATTACGCCCAGGCGCTAGCCCACCTGAAAAGAGACCTGGAGTGGCGAGACCTGAGGCTTGGGGGAGGCTCGGGAGAGGTTCGGGGAGCTGGAGGAGCAAGAGGAGGTTCGGGGGGAGGGGGAGCAGGAGGAGGGGAAGGAGGGGGAGGCAGATCTGGGGCTTTATCTCCAGACCAGTTCTCGTTTGTGTTGAGGGTTTTGGAGGCTATAGTGGATGCCCTACCGCCAAGTGGCGAGCCGCCATTGGCCGGCACGGTCCTGGTACCTGAGGCTTCAGGAGGGCTGGTGGCGGCTCGGGAGCTGATTTTCAACGATGCTGCGTGGCTCGGTAAAGGTAGGCATGGGCGGTACACGAGGGTGGCACTTAAAAGTGAAGTTCGGTGGCACTTGGTTGAAGTATTGTGGCACTTAGTTGAGGTATTGTGGCACTTAGTTGAGAGTTTTTTGGCACCTAGCTGAAAGTGGGGTGTCACTCTTCTGGCAGTGAATGGCACATTCAGCAAAAGATAGGTGGTTTTCCGCATTGTGTAAATGTCTGCTTTCCGCCGATTGTGTGTGTGGCCCAAGCAAACAGAAGGCGAGGCCGAACACTTTCCTCACACGTGTTTTGCCTTTTATGTTCTAACAAACGCTCCCTCCTTGCAGCAACGGTGGACGGGCGGAGTCGCTTTGTGCATCCCGACGTGCCCCACGCCATAGCGGAGCGCCTTGGCTCGCGCTCCCTGCGAGGACTGTCGCTGGACGGCCCCTCTGCTGCCACCTCGCTGCCTTGCCTCCCAGGTGAGAAGTCTATTTTTGAGGCGCCTCAAAACTAGACTCCCTCAAAGGGCTGTCGCTGGACGGCCCCTCTGCTGCCACCTCGCTGCCTTGCCTCCCAGGTGAGAAGTCTATTTTTGAGGCGCCTCAAAACTAGACTCCCTCAAAGGGCTGTCGCTGGACGGCCCCTCTGCTGCCACCTCGCTGCCTTGCCTCCCAGGTGAGTCTCGTGCTCCAACTCCTGCACAGCTGACGAATCGAGGTGGGTACTCTGTGCACAACACACACGTGCCTCACGCTGTAGCGGAGCGCCGCCTAGGCTCGCGGCAGGTGCTCTGTGCCCCACGCCCTGCCAGGTGAGTCTCGTGCTCCAACTCCTGCACAGCTGACGAATCGAGGTGCGCACCGTGTGCTCAAAACATGTGCCCCACGCCATAGCACCGTGGCGTGCCTTGTCTCGCCCTCCGTCCAGCACGCGTTGTTGCTGGACGGCCCTTCTGCCGCCACCTCGCTTCCGTGCCTGCCAGGTGGGTCTTGGTCTTGTGCCCCAGCGCCCATGCACCTAGTATCGCAATCAAGTCACGTCATTGCGCCTCCTCCTTCTCTCGAACCATCCTTATCGTTCAATAGAGTGAACAGTACGGCAGTGAACCGCTCTTGTCCTCTTTCTCTCCGTCCTTCTCTTCGCTTCTCTTCTTTACCTGCCTAACTTGTATTCTCTCTCCAACCTACCCCTCCAGCGGTGGTGATATCGGAGCTGCTAGAAGGCTGGGCAGCGGACGCGCACCTCCTCCTCTTTGATCTGCTGGAGGTGGCGGATGCATGTGGTGCCCGGGGAGTGGAGTTTGTGTGGGACCAGCGGCACCACCCGGAGATCTCCCTTCTGCAACCCAACCTGGGTAAGTGCTGATCAAGCAGGGAGTGTTTAGAAACGTGTCCAACCTAGGTCCGTGCCGGTTTTAGCAAGGGTGCCTTGTGTTTATGAAATCAGCTGCCTTGTAGATATGAAATCAGCTGCCTTATATTTATGAGATCAGCTGCCTTGTAGTCCAGCACCACCCGGAGATCTTCCTGTTCCAGCCCAACCAACCCTGGGTGGGTGAGGATTGCATGCGTCAGACAATCTCTCCGTGCTCTTTCAGGGATCTCATTGTTGCTGCCCATTCTGGGTACTTGGGGATCCGGAATTCACGAGTTGAGGGAAGGCTTGCCCTGCCATTGGATGCGTGTGGTGTGGTGCCCAGGGTGGTGCAGGTCAACTCCAGAGTGGTGCCCCTCACTCACCGTTCCCTTCCACGGAGCTCAGCTCACATCAGAACACATCTCCCACCCGTACATGCACGCCTCTCCTTAACCACTCTTCCATTCCCTGCTCTCTTGCTCCGTCCCCTTCCATTCCCCCTCACCCACATCTGCAGGTCAGTTCCAAGGTCCTCTTCCACGGAGCTCAGCTCAGCTCACATCACAGGACATCTGCCACCCGCACATGCACTTTGTTTGAGGTTGATTTTGAGAATTCTCAAAATCAACCTCTCCTCAGGGACTTTTCTGTCCCCTGCTTTCCTTCCCCCGTTTCACCCACCCCACCCTTCTCTCACCCATCCTTACAGGTCAATTTCAAGGCCCCTTCCTCACCATCCTTTTCCACGGGGCCCAGCTCACATCACATCACATCAGGGGACATATACCACCGGCACACGCCTCTCCTCACCCACTCTTCCATTCCCTGCTCTCTTGCTCCGTCCCCTTCCATTCCCCCTCACCCACATCTGCAGGTCAGTTCCAAGGTCCATCCCTCACAATCTTGTTCCAAGGAGCCCAGCTCACATCAGGGGACATTTGCCACCTGCACACGCCTCTTCTCATGCACTTTTCCGGCCCCCGCCCTACTTGCTCCATCTCACCCCCTCTCTCACTCACTCCCCTGCAGGTCAATTCCAGGGTCCTTCTCTCACCATCCTTTTCCACGGAGCCCAGCTCACCTCAGAGGACATTTGCCATCTGCACACGCCTCCCCCCATCCGTCTCCGCGACGCCACGTGTCGCTACGGCACTGGTCTGCTGGGCGCATACCACCTCTCCGACCTCCCCCTCATAGTCTCAGGAAGCTTCCTCTACGCCTTCGACCCCTCGGGTCATCATCTTTTCTCTGGTTCGGCTGGTGGTGCTGCTGGTGCTGGTGGTAGTAGTGGTGGCTTGTCTGGTGCTCGTGGCTCATCAGGGTCACCTGGTGGATCGAGGAGGAGAGGAGGAGGGGACGACATGGCTGCTCCTGTTGCTCGAGCCTTTTCCCTCAAAGGTACCACCGCTTCTGATCAAGGTTCTCGGTTTTTGTCTGGTTCATTATCCTTTCTGTGTGCATCCCAGGTGGTCAGTGTTGGCCAGTTCCTATCGAATCAACATTTCTTTGTTGCCCCCCTCGCTCATCCAGGCTCAGGCTCCTCAAGCTTCATCAATCGATTCCCTGACCAGTTCCGGCCCCTCACCTTCGCCCCTTCCTCCTCCTCCTCCTCTCACTCTTCTCACTCCTCTCACTCCTCTCACTCTTCCCACTCCTCTCACACCTCCACCACCGCCACCTCTTTCTGGGACGAAAACACGGTACTGCGCTTGCCCCTTCGCACGCAGCAGCAGGCAGACTCTAGTCCAATCAGGAGAGGCCACGTGGCAGGGCCGTGGGATATTGTTCTGATGGCGCAGCTGCTGCAGCAGCATGGGGCGGCGTCGCTTGCCTTTTTAAACTCTGTGGAGACGGTGAGTGTGCTGTCATGCCATGTAGGCTTCAGAAAAAAATTCAAAAACCTGTTTGGTTCGACCCAAACATGTGTTTCCACACCTCGTGACTCACACCTTCTTTTTGAAAGTTACCCCTGTCTTGAAATCTGTTTCTTTCTCCCAGCTTCCTCTTACTACAACTTCTCCTCTCCCCCTTCTTAATCCGTTCACCCTATCCCCTGCACGCCAGGTGTCGTTCTCTGTGTGGCCGGCTGACGCTGTCCAACCGGAAGAGTTTTTCCATGCCCAGGTCAGTCTCTCCCACCCAAACCGTATTCTGAGTCGACTCAAAACACTACTTTTTCCATGCTCAGGTCAGTCCCTCCTCTTAGAACTTAGGCTTAGAAGCGATGCATTAATAATGAGTTTGAAGCTCTTTAAATACATCCAAGAAGGGGAGGGAATGGATGGGGAAGGGAATCGGGGGCAAGCCTAGGGATTAGGGGTAATCCCAAGGCAATCTCCAATTGGTGGGTTGGAGATTGCTTGGAGATTACATTTGGGTTTGGTTGGGATGTAGGTGTACACCCAACCAAACACAATGTGCAAACTACACTAGTCTAGGATATAGAAAATACAAAGTACAAAGTGTGAGATTGAAGGCTAACACTAACTCCCCCCCATAGGCGTCAATCGAACTCATGGTAGAGAGGGTGGTGCACAGAGCCCCATGGCGCCTAGGAGACGGTGGTGGGGAACTTTCCCAAGGGGCTTGGTGAACAGATCAGCCAGGTTGCAGTCAGATGCAACGTATTCCACTTTCAGCTGCTCCTGTTGGACAAGGTCACGGATGAAGAAGTGCCGAAGTTCAATATGCTTGGTGCGGGTGTGATACACAGGGTCTTGAGAGATGTGGATGGTACTCTGGTTGTCACACCAGAGGGTGGGGGCGGACTGTGGGAAACCAAGCTCCTGGAGTAGGAAGGTGAGCCAACGGGCCTCCTGAGCAGCCATGGCGCCTGCGTAGAGCTCTGCCTCACAGGAGGAGAAGGAGACTGCAGACGACCTGGTGGAGCGCCAACTGACAATTCCGCTCCCAAGGGTGAAGCAGTACCCCTGAGAGGAGCGTCGGTCGGTCTGGTCATCAGCCCAGGAGGAGTCGGTGTAACCTTCCAGGCGAGGAGGGGAGAGCCCACCGAGTGTGAGAACGTGAGACTTGGTGCCCTGAAGATAGCGCAGCACCAGCTTCGCCGCCTTCCAGTGAAGATCAGTGAAGCGTCCAGGGGCCACGTAGCGAGAGAGGACACTGACAGGATAGGCCAAGTCCGGTCGGGTGCACATCATGGCATACATGAGGGACCCAACAAGCTCCGGGTATGGCTCAGAGCAGGCCTCTGGTGTGGGTACAGCTGGAGCAGTGAGGAGGTGTTGCAGCGGCAGCGGGGTGGCAACAGGTGTGCACAGCTCCATCTCAAACCGCTTGAGCACATTGTCGATGTAGAACTCCTGGGAGAGTGAAATGGTGCGAGCCTGGCGATCACGAGTGATCTCCATCCCCAGGTAGTGCTTGAGGTCACCGAGGTCTTTCATCTGGAGAGCCTTGCTCAGGGCTGCCTGGACAGAGGTCATCTGGGCCGAGTCCTTGGCAACGAGGATGAAATCATCCACGTAGTCCAGGATGTAGAATGGCTCAGAATGACGGCGGATGAAGAGAGTCGGGTCAGCAGTTGAAGGGTGGAAGTCCAGGGAGAGGAGGACTTCTTTCACCTTGTTGTGCCATTCGCGAGGGGCTTGCTTAAGGCCGTAGACGGGGCGATTCAGCTTCCAGACAGTGTTGGGAGGGAATTCTCCTGGGAAGCCTTCTGTTCTGTCCATGAACACTGTCTCCTTGAGACGTCCTTGTATGAAGGCGGATGAGGCATCCATGGATTTGATCTCAAAGTCTTCTCGAGCTGCGACATCCATGAGCGTATGAATGGTGGGAGGTTTGGATGTGGGGGAGAAGGTTAGGAAGAAGTCGCGGTACTGCTGCTGGGTGAAGCCCTTGGCTACGTAACGCGCTTTCAACACCGAGGCCTCGTCTGGGAGCTGTTTTACGGAACAACCACTTGCCCCCGACGATGTTGACTCCTGGAGGTGGAGTCTCGTCGTCGAAGGAGTGGTTGCGGGTGAATGCTGCAATCTCCGCTTCCATGGCAGCACGCCATTCGGCAGCATGAGGGCCTGAGAGAGCCTCTTGGACGGTGAGAGGGATAGGGATGGTCGGGTTCTCCGCGAAGTTGAGGGAGGGTGAGTCAGTGATGTCGGGGAAGATGTGCGAGAGCTGAGGAATGACTGCATGAAGATCACACAGCTCCTCATGCCTGTCTTCCAGAAGGGTAGAGGGCACATCCCCCCCAGCAGGAGGAGGCGGTGTGATCGCCGTATATCGAAGAACCAGCGCTAGTGGAAGAGCCGCGCCATGCGAACGAGTGCCATGAGCCACCGGAGAAGAGGGTGGGGCAGGCGGTGTCGGAGGGGTTGACTTGGAGGCTTGGGCGGGGGAATGGGCCGCCGGTGGTACGTGATCAGCTCGGGCGACTGTGGGAGAGCGGGTTGTGGTGGGGGGAACCGGGGGAGGAGGTGGGGCCGGAGGGTGGGACCGCCGATGGTAGGTGATAGGTGCGCTCGGAGGTGGCTGCACAGTCGGCGGAGTGGGAAGTGAGGGGGATGGAGGAGCAGCTGCCGAAGACACCGGTGAGGGCGGGTCAGAGACCGCAGAGGGGGACGGTGCGGTGGCAGGAGGGGTAGGGGGTGAAGGGGCCGGAGCAGGCGAGAGGTCAGGAGGCGCATCAAAGTCTGCCCACACGAGGGAGGGTGGGTCAGGGAGAGGGTCCCGTCCCGAAGTGGAGTAGAATGGGCGGGTCTCATCAAAGACAACGTCGCGGCTCCGGACCAACTGCTGAGTGGAGGGATTGAGGAAGAGGTAGTCAGGCGAGTCGGCGTTGTGTCCGAGGTAGATGCATGTCTGGGTCTTGGGACCGAGCTTGCCGCCGTGCTGCCGTCGAGCCTGAGGGTTGAGGAGGACATAGGTGGTGCACCCCTAAACGCGAAGAGAGCGAGCAGTGGGCGTTTTCTCGAGCCAGAGTGTGGTTGGAGTGGTGTCGGGAAGATGCGGGTGGGGGTAAAAGTTGTAGAGGAGGGCGGCGTGGTAGAGAGCGTACCCCCAGAGAGAGTGTGGAGCGTTGGAGTGGCTGAGGAGGCACCGAGTGTGTGGTTGCGGCTCTCAGCTATACCGTTCTGCTGCGGGCTGTCAGGGAGGGTGAAGTTTTGCTGGATGCCTTCTGAAGAGCAGAAGGCTTTGAGCTTGTCGTTGCAAAACTCACCACCACCATCTGAGTGGAGGCGCTTGACTTTGCGGTCAAAGGCGGTCTGTGCCTGTTTAACCCACGCCATGAGGACCTCTGGAACCGCAGCCTTAGTGTGGAGGAGGTGAACAGAGACGTAGCGAGAGTGGTCATCGACGATAACAAGGAAGTAGCGATAACCACCTCGTGCGGGAACAGGGGCAGGGCCCAAGACGTCCAGGTGTACCAGGTCCAGTGGTCCTGCTGCAACAGAGGGTGAGGCCGGGTGGGGCTGTTGACGCAGTTTGCTCTTGGTGCAGTCAAGGCACGTGGGAGCGGGGGAGTCTGGTGGTGGAGGAAGTGAGGCTGGCAGGCCGAGTAGAAGTTTCTTGGAGGCCATGTCAGCAAGTGTGCGGAAGTTTGGGTGCCCGAGCCGATGGTGGTAGAGTATGGTCGGGTTGGAGAAACTGCGGCACGAGCATGGTGAGGTAGTCGCCGCTGTTTGGGTGGTTGACACCTGTGGGATGGGTACTTGCAGCGTGTAAAGGCCGCTGCTGTTGAGGGTGAAACGAGTCAAGACCTTGTTGGTGAGTGGGTCGAGGATATCACCATAGTTCTCGTTCTCCCAGAAGATGGTGCGTAGTCCAGCTTCCTGAATTTCCGTTTGGGCCACGAGATTGTGGCGGAGTGAAGGCACGCACATTCCAGTGACAGTGCCGGAAGGGAAGGCGGGGCACGGGACTGTGGATGAACCCTTGGCATGAGTTGTGAAGCTGGAGTCAGCTCCTAGGAGAAGGATGGGTGTTGCGTAGGGTTTGAAGGAGAGTGTCTCCTTGAGTACAGTGTGTGTGGCCCCGCTGTCGAGTGTGAACTCTATGCATTGTGGTGCTTGTGATGAGCCGAGGTACTGGGAGGAAGCTTCATTAATCATTGCAGTGCCAGGGAACAACAGGTTGATACGGGCATCAGCAGGAGCACTATCACTAGCACTAGCCGAAGCGGGGTCCTGGACCTCAACCAGGTTGGCCTTACGCGCACGCAGCCAGTTCGGTGGCCTCTTGTCTATGCCGTGGATGGCGTACCATTCGTCGTCCTTCTTCTTGAAGCACGTAGCAAGGGGGTGGTTAGTGCCACCACACACTTGTTCCTTGCGGTTGCCATACTTGACGACGTAGGTGCACGGTGGGAAGCGGTTGCGCTGGAGGGGCGCCGAGGCAAGGGCCGATGCGACACTGGCTTGAGGCATGGGAGCACGGATGGCGTAAGCCTTGGCCTGAGCCGTGGAGTCTTTCTTGGCAGAGAGGAGTGCGGTGGAGACCTTGGCAAAAGTGAGGTCTTCCGCAGTCAGCGTGAGGAGCATCTTCCTTGTGATTTCATAGGTTGTGGTGAGACCAACGAGAAGAGCTGCTGCAGGGGCCTGTTCGGGGAAGACTATACCCAGCTCCTTGAGTTCGCCATGAATGGTCTGAACCTTGGCAATGTAGTCGACCATTCCCGAGCAATCCTCAAGGCGGACCTGGAACATGCTGGGGATGAGGATGGCAACTCCGACTGCAGTCTTGTTCATGAACCGATCCTGGAGATACTTCCAGATGGCGTTGGAGGTAGGGTAGTTATGGAACGTGTTGACAAGTTCTGGAGGGGTGGAGGCGATGAAGACGCTGATAATTGCAGCATCGGCCTTCTCCCACTTCCGGTACTTCTCAACGGCTTCCTCATATGCCTTTGTGTCAGCCTCACTAGCGGATTCGGTCGGCTCGCGAGGGAGAAGGGGCTGTTTTCCCTTGCCACGGTTGAGGAGGACATCCTTGAGGTCCAATCCCTGCACGTCACGGCTCAGCAGGTGCTTGTCAACCCCATAGCTCCATGCCTTGAAATTGGAGCTAGAGCCATCGGCGTCAAGACGGAGTGGGGTGATGGGGTTGGCCATGGTGGACGAGGCGAATGCCATGATGGAGACCCTTTAGGGTGTCGCGCGGAGCGCCGCTCTTGAGTCAACGATAGGAACTTGAGGTTTGGGGTTTCCGAAGGAGATTTTGAAGAACCGGAGGTTTAGGGTTTACGAAAGAGAATTTTGAGGTTTAGGGTTTCTGAAGGAGAATTCGACTGAAACGCCAATTTAGTGTCAACTACCTACTAATCCTATTCCCACACACCCCCCCACACACCACCCTCAGCTTCTCGGCTGCGCTGCTGCTCGGCTTCGCGGCTACACGGCTGCTCGGCTTCGCGGCTACGCTGCTGCTCGGCTGCGCTGCTGCACCTGTTCAGCTGCGGGAAAGGGAGAGGGATGGGGGTAGGAGTGCAGATGCGGAGCGACGGGCGGCAGCCCGAAGGTGAAGCTGCAGGGCGACGGGCGGTGGCCCGACGAGAAGCTGCAGGGCGACGGGCGACAGCCCGACGAGGAGAAGGAATGACGCGATGATGTTCGACGAAAACGAGCGATAGGTTAAAACGCCGACGATGCGCTTACCAGTGAGATAGTAGATGCTGTCGAGAGTGACGGGAAAGTGGTGCGGAAGAATTTCCGCCCACGAATGTCGCGAATCAACGGCGACGAGATTGAAGGCGGTTACGCCGAGGTTTGCGGGACGAACATCCGAAGAGATAAGAGGATCACGATCCGCGTGTGCGGTTTGAAAGGCTCTGATACCATCTTAGAACTTAGGCTTAGAAGCGATGCATTAGTAATGAGCTTGAAGCTCTTTAAATACATCCAAGAAGGGGAGGGAATGGATGGGGAAGGGAATCGGGGGCAATCCTAGGGATTAGGGGTAATCCCAAGGCAATCTCCAATTGGTGGGTTGGAGATTGCTTGGAGATTACATTTGGGTTTGGTTGGGATGTAGGTGTACACCCAACCAAACACAATGTGCAAACTACACTACTCTAGGATATAGAAAATACAAAGTACAAAGTGTGAGATTGAAGGCTAACACTAACACCTCCCACCCGAACCCGTGAATCATATTCGAGAATTCTTAAAAGTTGTTGTCTTCTCATGTTTTAATATGCGGGGACTGGTGCTGCTTGCTTGCACACACAGACACATCATCCCGAGCCTTTGTGTTCCTTTGCCCCTCCTCCCTCTCTCTTCAGGTCCGAGCGGGCATGGGGTCACTGAGAGCGCCCTTTCAGGACCGCAAGGTTTGCAAGCAAGGCTTCCTCTCCATCCTCTTCGCCCGAGGTGGGGGAATTAGCAGAGGCACCAGCAGCAGCAGCATTGAACACTCACTCTTTCCCTCCTTCCCCTCCCCTCCCCACGGGTCCGAGCGGGCATGGGCTCTCTCAGGGCGCCCTTTCAGGACCGCAAGGTGCGCAAGCAGGGATTCCTCTCCAGCTCCCGGAGGGAGCAATAGCGGCAGCAGCAGCAGCATCATGCAACAAAACTTCGCTGTTTTCCCTCTCCCTCCCCCTCCCCACAGGTCCGAGCAGGCATGGGGTCACTGAGAGCGCCCTTTCAGGACCGCAAGGTGCGGAAGCAAGGCTTCCTCTCCAGCCTCTTCGCCCCGGGAGGTGGGGGCAGCAGTGGCACCAGCAGCAGCAGCAGCGGCGGCAGCCTGAAAGCGTTCACTCTTGACGTTCTCACCAAGTCGCAGTCCCTTGCCCCACTGCTGCCGCTGCTGGGGGGTAGTGGTGGAGGGGAGGGAGGAGAGGGTGTGGAAGGAGATGAGGGGCTGGGGCGTGGGGAGGGTGGAAGGGAAGGAGAAGGGGAGCAGAGGCTGGAGAAAGGGAAAGGGACAGAGGACGTGGGAGGGGAGAAGGGGACACTGCAGAAGCAGCAGCAGGAAGAGGAAAGGAGGAGTGGAGAGAGGTTGGGGAAGGTTGCGGGCCACGCGGGAGGTGGTGGAAAGAAGGCTGGAGTCTCTGACGTGGCGATTGATCGTTGGCTTGTGGTGCAGACGTTTGGAGCTGGGAGTTCCCTGGATATGGCAAGAAGCAAGTGAGTTTGAAGCTAGTTCTCAGTTACTAAATCTGCCCCACACAAGGTACCTCTCCTTCAATCAACCTCTCTCCTGTGACCGGCGCCACCACCAGAATCCCCCACAATGGTCTTTGATTTTCCCAGGATATGCTCCGTCTACTGATGGTCTTTGATGGTCTATCTATATTAAGTGCCTCGATTTTTTGTTTCCCCGCTTCCCCTCCCCTCTATCCCATCCCACAGGAGGTATCTCTCCTTCAACCTCTCACCAGTGGCCGGCGCCGCCACCCGAATCCTCCGGAACGGCGAGATCATCCCCTTCGCCACCATCCACCCCTTTGCCCCACAACCAGAAGCATTACCACCCCTCTCAACCGTCTCCTCTTCCTCCTCCAACCTCTCCGCCCTCCGCCCGCTCCTCCCGCCCTCGGTTGTTCTCGCGCCGCTGCCCGTGCCTCTCAACCTGCCCTTCCCAGTGGCTCTTTTCGGCCACTTCCTCCTCCTCCGCAACCCCGGATCCCCTCGCTCCCTCTTCCTCCCTTCCCCCTCTTCCTCTCCCGCGTCCTCCTCCCTCTCCTCCACTCCTTTGCCGCCGTCTGCTGACGTGGCACCGGGCGCCACGTCAGCAGCTGCCACGTCACCGATGGACGCGCTGATGCAGGCGTGGAACGAGGAGCTGCTGACAGGTGTCCGCGAGGCGTACATCGGCCTCCTGCTGGAGATGCAGCGGATCAGAATCGGCGAATCACGGCTCGTATCGGGCATATCTGGCGTTTCAGGAGTGTCCGCAGCAATGTCGAGTAGTATGTCCCAGCAGTCTCAGGGGTTCAGAGGCAGCAACCGGCAGCATCAGCAGTATCACCATCAGCAGCAGCAGCAGTTGAGGGGGGCGTTGTTTCCAGCAGACCAGTTCTACTCCCTCTTCCCTCGCTCCTCCGGTCCTGCTCGTGCTGCTCTTCCCGCTATCACCACTGCTTCCTCTTCCCTGCATCCCACCTCTTCTCAGCCTGCTTTCCCTGAGAATGAGCCGAAAAGACAGCCAATAGCAGCAGCAGGCGCTGCTACAACAGGCGATGAGGTGGCGCTGCGTGATTGGATGGTGCGGCCGATGTACGTCCGGCTGGCAGAGCTGCCCGTGTGGCAGCTCCACAGTGGAGCAGCCGTGCAAGTCAGCCAAGGAATGTTCCTCGTCCCGCCCCCGGGATCTTCAACCACCCTGTCTATAAGCACCCCTTCGACCAGCACTCCTGCCAGCAGCAGCTCCGTTATAAGCACATTAAGCACATCTGCTAATAGTGGAGCGCCGCCAGAAGCGGTGTGTGAGTTTCTGCGGGCGCACTACCGCGTGTTCAGCGTGCCGTGGGACCTGGTGGGGGAGCTGCATGCGGCCGGCGTGGCCACTCAGGCGCTGACACCTGGCATGCTGCGGTCCCTGCTGCGCGGGCCGAATGCCACCACGAGCTCTGTCCCCGTGACGACACAGGTATGTTTTTTCTTCAGCCAGGTGATCACACAGGTATGTTTTCTCGTCCTGATGAAATGTCAAGAGCAGGTACTTTCTGTTGTGGTTCGGGTTTCCGTCCTGATGAGTGCGTTCTGATGAGTGCGTCCTGATGAGTGCGTTCTGAAGGAAAAAACGAATGGAGATTGAAGAGAAGTAATGGTATTTTGGAACGAAACCAAGTGAACTCTCTCCTTTTATTTATTCCCAGATAAGCCAATCTCTCTGTGATGCTGTGCGTACCTCATGGAATGCTGCTGTGATGATTTGCACTCTCGTACACAAAAGCTCCAACAAACCGGTGAAGATTTTGACACTACCCTTTCCCCCTCCTACACTGTAATCACCACCTCTTCCCTTGAACCCCTTTCCTTGTCCCCCCTTTCCTCTTCCCCTCTCCTCCCTTCCCCCTCCCGCTCTTTTCCCCTTGGTTTCCTTCGCCCAGGTCGATTTGCTGGAGTATTGCTGTGCCGACATTCAACTGCCCGACCCGGCCTCTTATCCCGTGCTGCCACCTGGCAGCTCATCATCCGCCAGCCAGGCTGGCAGCGCTGCCACGTCAGCAGCGCCACGTGGCGCTGCAGGAGCGTTTAGCATGATTCCACTGCCCAGAGAGGTGCGGGCACTGCTGAGGGGCGGAGGAGGGGAAGGGGGAAGCAGAGGGGGAGGGGGAGGGGGGGCGGGGGAAAGCAGAGGGTTAGGGGTGGGAGCAGCAGAAGCGTTGCTGCGGAGGCTGGAAGGGGCGAGGATGGGGGGGCTGGACGGCGCAGCAGCAGCAAGGGGAGGGGGAGGAGGAGCAGGGGGCGGTGGCGGCAGTGGTGGAAGCAGTGGGTTTGGCTCGCGGGGTGGGTATGCTGGGTACGGTGGCGCTGCTGCTGTTGCTGCTGGTGGTGCTGGTAGTGGTACTAGCACAGCAGGGCATGGGCATGGGCATGGGCATGGGCAGGGCTATGGGCATGGTGGGCAAGGGCAAGGGGATGGCATGCGCAGTGATGCAGATGCCCTGGCGGATCTTATGGCTCAGTTCGGCCGCTCCGTGTTCGATTTCGGGCAGAATGTTCTCGACGAGCTTGATGCTGCCCGGGCAGGTGCGACGGGCAGCGAACAAATAAACTCGGGAGAAGGAAGGGGAAGAGGGGGAGGAGGGAGAGGAGGAGGTGGGGGAGGAGGGGAGGGAGAGGAGAGGCCTGCACTGACAGAGGAGGAAAGGGAGAGACTTGCAGCAGAGGAAGCTTTCAGGAAGGCAGCAGAAACCAAGGTTGCAGAAATGAAGGGCGTTCCCATACCTACTGGTACGGTGTCCGACCCTGCGTTCCGAGCCTTCCAATCCGAGCCTCAGAGGCACGGTGGGGCCGGCGGGGGTCTGGCTAGGCTCGGGAAAGACCTCCTCATAGTCGCCACATGGGACCAGCAGCGGCTGTTGCCGAACCTAGCGCACAGGTTCGTTCACCGAACCTGCCTGGCTCGCCAGCTTCTGAAAGCCCTCTTCCTGCACCCGAGGTTCTGCGAGCTGCTGACGATGCAGCCATTCACGTTGCGCCACCTGGCAGACGGGCTGGCTACAGTGTTTTCTCGGCAGCAGAGGGCGGAGGCGGAAGGAGAGATGCTGATTGTGTGGGGCGAGGGAGAGGGGGCGGATGTGTGTGGGGAGGAGGAGGGAGAGCAGGGAGAGAACCAACAGCAGCAGCAGCAGCAGCAGGAAGCAAATCGTCCAGTCACTGCCACCACAGCCATTGCAAGCAGCAGCAGTCTGCAGCAGAGCACCTCTAGGGACTCGCCCTTGGGCCCTCTCTCTCCTGCCTGGCTCAGGGCCTTCTGGGCTCTGCTGAAACGCTCCTCCCTTTCTACGGCAACTGCTACCCAGGCACTTGGCAGCAGCATAGGGCAGCAGGAGTGGGTGGAGATCTTTGAATCATGGCCGTTGATTCCCGCCGTGACACGTGGCGGCAGTGTACTAGTCAAGGTTGCTTTCCGGGCAGCTGTTTTCGTCCCTCCAGATGCAGGTGCGGCTCCTGCCGAGCCTCCTGCTGAGCCTCCTGCCGAGCCTCCTGCTGAGCCTCCTGCCGTGCCACCTGCCGAGCCTGCAGTGCCTGTGTCAGGATTAGGAACTAGTGGGGAAGGTAGTTCAGGGGGAGGTGGCATTCAGGGCTGGGAATCTGCTGCAGTGGCAGCTGTAGGGTGGGCTGATTTTGGAGATTCAGCTACTGCTGGCACCTCTGCTGCCTCTGATGTATCTTCTCCTGTTGAGAGTTCTGAAGCTGGAGCAGCCAATGACAGGCTGCCACGTGGCACCACAGCAGAGTCTGAAACCAGAGGGACCACTACTCAGTACTCGCAGAAGCACCTGAGCTCTGAGTTTCGGCGGCTGCTGTGGAGATTCGACGCGCTGGACCGGGACCACCCGTGGCTGCTCCCGGTCCTGCGGGACAGGCTCGGCATCCCGATCTTCGACCGGAGGTTCGTCGCTTGCTCCGAAGCACTCCGGTGCTGCGAGGAGGCTCGGATAGGAGGCTCGGACAACACCCATCACACCCAGCAGCAGCAGCAGCAGCAGCTGTCTCTGCAGCAGCTGGTGCTGGCTCGGCTGCTAGCAGTTAAATCATTTGATCGGCTTCCTCCCCCTGCTGCTCTCGCTCTAGCTCTCTCTCCTCAGGACTGTGACCACTTAGTCTCGTTCTTCGCCTCTCACGTCCGCTCGCCCTCCTCCTTTCTCCAGTCCCTCGCCAGCACCATCTCCTCTTCTTCCTCCTCTCCCTCGCCCTACACCCCTCAAGAGCTCGCGCTTATCCGCTCGCTCCCAATCTTCAAAACCACCCTCGGGAATTTCACAGCCATTGACCCTGACTTGCACTGCGTCGCGCCACCTGTCGCATTCTACCAACCAAAAGATGCCACGTGTCTGCAGGACAGGGATTCTCCCGGGGAGAAAGCCCTGCTGAGCTGTCTCGGCGTGAGGGTCATCGACGAGGCGGATGTTCTCGCGAAATTTGCGCTGCCCGGATTTGACGGGCAGGGCGAGGAGGAGAGGGAGAGGGTGCTGCAATACGTGGTGCAGCATTGGCAGCAGCTGAAGCAGAAGCCAGCCGTTGTGGACGCGCTGAAAGAGACAAAGTTTGTGATACCAGCGCCGCCCGCCGCCGATGCTGCCTCTCTCTTCCCTCCTCCTGATTCCTTCCCTGCAATCGCTCTCTCTGTTGCCGCTGCCACCTCAGCACCTCTCACCACCTCCTCCTCCCCCCACCCTTCCCACCCTCTCGACTCTTTCCCCTCCGCTTCAATTTCTTCTGCCCGAGTTCGCCCGTGTGATCTCCTCGACCCAGCCAATGACCTCCTCCGGCAAGTTTTCGTGCACTGCCCAGAAAGGTTCCCGGGCGGGCAGTTTGAAACTTCGCGGTGGCTGCCCGTGCTGCGGGACTGTGGCCTCCAATCCGCCTTCACTCCTGACCTCTTCCTCCAATGCGCTTCCGCCGTGGAAGCGCGGTACGTCTCCTTCCTGGAATCTTCCTCTGCTGCTGCAGCAGCAGCTGCTGCAAACACTGCTGGTGGCGCAGCCGGTGTTGCTGCTGCTGGTGGCAACTCTGCATCGGATTCGTTTCTGCTGTTTGGGGGAGAGGACCCCTCTCAGGAGAGCGACACAGGGGACTTTGAGAATGTGGATTTGTTTTCGGGAGGCCGCACCACCGGTGGCAGCAGCAGCAGTGGTGGCCTGTCGACTGCTGCTGGAGCAGCAACAGGAGGAGGGGGGGTGGTGGGAGGGGGCCCAGTGGTGGGGGTGGAGGAGGAGCTGTGGGTGGTGGCAGGGCGGCTGACAGAGGCGCTGCTTGCAAATGTGGCGGTGGTGTTTGGCAGCAGTGCCATGGAGTCACTGGGGCAGATCAGGTGAGTCACCGTTGTTTCTGGATTCTAGCCTCCTCAGCTAGTGTCACTTTACATGGTTTCCGCGCCTCCCCTAGTGGTGGTGGGGGTGGAGGTCCTGTGGGTGGTGGTGGGGGTGGAGGTCCTGTGGGTGGTGGTGGGGGTGGAGGTCCTGTGGGTGGTGGTGGGGCCGCTGACAAAACCGCTGCTTGCCATTGTGGCCGTGGTGTTTGGGAGCAGCGCTATGGAGTCGCTGGGGCAGATCAGGCGCGTTGGCGTTGGTGAGGGAGGTGGGCTGTTGGTGGAATAGGATGTATGTCCGAGGTTGAGGGTTTATGGTTCGGGGTTTGGGGTTTAGCTGACAGATGTGCTGCTGTGAATGTGGCTCAAGTGTTTGGGAGCAGTGCTATGGAGTCGCTGGGGCAGATCAGATCAGGTGTGGTTTGATACAGGTGTGTTTGATACAGGAAGCGTGCCAAAGGTTGAGGGTCCATGGTTCAGGGTTTAACCTGACAGAGGCGCTTCTGGTGCATGTGGCGGCGGTGTTCGGCAGCAGTAACATGCAACTCCTTTCTTTATAGGCGCCTCAGAAGCGGTCTAGCCCCCCCCTCCTCCCATGTCCCTCCCCCAGGTTCATTCCAGCAGAGTGGGATATGCCAGCAAGCTGGGCGGCAGTGGACAGGCATAGCCTCACCAGCTTCTTTCTGTGCTACCCTCTCCTTCCCACACTTGCACTCCCATTACCCCACTTTCCTCCCCTTTCCTCCCCCCCTCTCCCTTCCGCCACCCCCCATCTCAGGTTCATCCCAGCAGAGCGAGGAATACCTACAGGCGGGGCAGCGGTGGACCGGCGATTTAGGGTTTAGGGTCTATGCTGCCTGCCTGTGTGGCGCCTCTCCTGGTCCTCGCTTCCTCCCTCCCGTGGCCCCATGCATGCACCCACCACCCCCCTCTCTGACCTTCCTCCACGTTCATCCCAGCAGAGCGGGGAATACCGACAGGGGGGGCAGCAGTGGATAGGCATAGCCTTACCAGGTACTCTTGCTGTGATTGCTACCCTCTCCGTCCCGCACTCGCACTCCCATTACCCCACTTGCCCCACTTCTCCCCCTTCCTGACTTTCTCCTCCCCCCTGCTCTCTCCCACCTCAGGTTCATCCCAGCAGAGCGCGGAATACCGACAGGCGGGGCAGCGGTGGACCGGCGGTGCCTCGCCAGCTATGCTGCCTGCTGTTTGCGGAATGCCGAAAGAGCTCCCTCACTCTTGCCGCACTTCAACCCCTCTTCCCCACCCACCACCAGGTTCATTCCAGCAGAGCGGGGAATACCAACAGGCGGGGCAGCGGTGGATAGGCGGTGCCTCGCCAGCTATGCTGCCTGCGTGGCGCCGTCTGATTGGCCGCTCGCGTGGACGGCGGTGCCTGTGCTGGCGAGGGAGGCGTTTGTGCCGCCGCAGTTCACGTGGCTGAAGCTCGGCCTCAAGTCCCCGCCGCCTCTCTCCCTCGTTCTCACTCACCTCAAGGTACGCTCTCCCACACCCATGTACGGTAGTCTCATCTCATGTCATGTGCACTCGCTCGCATGTACTAGCAGCGCCTTTTTTGGGCCTTTGTCCTGCTGCAGTTCACGTGGTTCAAGTCACGCACTTATTCCGAAAACACTCATGCGTGCGTCGTCGCATTGTCCCGTCGTCCCATTCATGTAGTCCTCTTCACCCTAGTCCCTCTACCCACCCGTTCTCGCTTTTCTCTCCCTTACAACATTCCTCTTCTCGCCCTTCTCTTCGTCCCATCCCTACACACACAGGTCTTGGGTCGAGGGGGGGGAGAGGAGACCCTCGCCCGTTGGCCAAACATCGTAGGAGGAAAGTCAGTGGAAGAAGCGTTCGAGCAGATCTTCAAGTTCCTCGCCTCCCATTGGTCCTCCCTCGACCCGCCCGACATCCGCTCTTTAAAGCCCGTCTCGCTTGTCCCCGTCGCCAACGGCACCCGCCTCGTCCCAGCCTCGGCGCTCTTTGCCAGGCTCGGCCCGGACCTCGCGCCGTACCTGTTCGAGCTGCCTCGGCGGTTCCTGCCATTCTCCCAGCTGCTGGTGGACCTTGGGATGCACGACTCCCCCTCGCCCTCTGCCCTCTCCTCCTTCCTCTCTGCCTTGCACCGCTCTTCCGGAGGGCAGAGGCTCAACCCGAACGAGCTACGAGCTGTGCTCAGAATCTTGAGACTCGTGTGTGAGGGAGAGGAGGAGAATGGGGGAGGTGGAGGAAGAGGAGGAGCAGCAGGAACGCTGCCTTGTCGCTCTGCAGCGCTCTCTCCTCTCCTGGCTCACGCCGTGGTTCCGGATGATTCGTGCCGGCTCGTCCCGGCCCATTCCTGTGTGGTGGTAGACCCAGCTGCCGTTTTCCTAGCCAATGAAATCGACCCGCGCTGCCTTCGTCTCGTGCACCCGCTCCTGCCGCCGAGCCACGCGGCCAGGCTCGGCATCCCGAGCCTGTCGCAGGTGGTCGAGCAGGAGCTGGATCCGAACCTGCTGATGCAGCAGGTTGGCTCGGTCGGGGGTGTTTCTCTTAGGAATGTTGCAGAGAGGATCAGCAGCAGAGAGTTTGCTGCTGCTGCTTGGTCTATCTTGCACCAATTTGCAGCAGCAGCGGCAGCATCAACTCCCTCCTCTCTCTTCTCATCGTCCTCCTCTACCACTCTCAGTTCATCACCCCACTCCTCTTCCTCCTCATCCTCCACCTCCTCCTCCTCCTCTCCCTTCTCTTTTCGAACAAGGGATGTTACCCCTCCCTCCTCCCGCGCCCCTCCATCCTTCTCCCCCATCCAATCGCGTGACGACGCGTGGCGAGCGCTCACGCGAGCAGCGCAGGGCCTGCGATTTGTATCGGGCCTCCACACGCGATTCGTGATCCTGCCGTCCCGTAAGGTGGTGCCACGCAGGACGACATGTCAGCACCACCATCAGAATCAGCATCCTCGTCCCAGCAGCAGTACCGTAAGTAGTAACTCACCTTTAGGAGGCTCGCATAGTGGTTTGAGGGACCCAGATATAGGGTCGGTGGGGAGTGCAGTAGCAGCAGCAGTGGCAGCAGCAGCAGCTGCTGAAGCGAGAAGAACAGACAAAGCCAGTGGCAGCAGAGAAGCAGGAGGAGGAGAAGGATCAACCACAGCACCAACAGCAACCACAGCAGCAGCAGGAGGGGTAATTCCAGGGGAACTTTTCTTTGTGGATGGGCGGCAAGGTCTTGTCTTTATCTCAGCAGCATCTGCTACAGTAGCGTCTCTCCCGCACGTACTATCTGCCGCCCTCAGCCAATTCCTGGGCTCTCCCGTATGCTTGCCTCTTGCCGCCCTGCTTGACTGCCCACCGAGCCTCCAACCGGGCCTCCGCCGAGCCTTGGCGCTCGGTTCTCCAGCAGCCCTGGTTTCTGCCACCTCTGGCAGCTCTAGATCAGGTTCGGAAGCCGAAGGCGAAGAGGAGGGGCGTTTGGGTGCAGAACTAGCAACCTCAGGCTCGGAAGGGCAGGCTCGGATGCCAAGCCTGTGGCAGCAGCGGGTGGCGGCGGAAAGGGGAGGCATGCCTGGGGAGGTTGTAGCAGCTGCTGACGTGGCACTGCTACAGTGCCACCCACTGAGGCCGTTCCACGCAGGGGAGGTTGTAGCGTGGAGAGAGGAGCGAGGGGGAGGAGGCGGGGGGTTGCTAGCAGGCAAATGGTTTGGGCAGGGGCAGGGGGCAGGAGGAGGAGGGGGAAGCAGTAGAGCAGCAGGGAGCACACTCGATCCTGCCTCATCCTCGCCCGCAGCACCCGCATCCACGCTGCGCTATGGCCGCGTGGTGGCGGATGTGAGGGCGACAGCAGGCCAGGCGCTGTGCCGCGTGCAGGTGGAGACCTTCCCCAACGAGATGCGCCTGCTGCTCTCCTCCTCCATCCTCTCCTTCAAATCCTCCACCTCCTCCTCTGCCTCTGCTGCAGCCGCTGCAGCAACGGCAGGGGCAGCAGGGGAAGATACAGCTCCCCCTGCCGCTGCTGCTGCCTCTCCAGGCTTGTTGGCTCTTCCTCCCACTTCTCTTGGTGAAGCTGCCAGCTCAGCAGCGACGTCGCCGCCAGCTGGCGCCATGTCAGCGCCGTCGGTGGTCCCGCCTGGCGAGGTGGTGCGGGCTGTGAACGACATGCTGGCGGCGGCAGGGATCCCGCTGGGCGGCGGGCAGCAGCGGCTGCTGACTCAGCTGCTGACGATGCAGGAACAGGTGGCGGCGGTGGAGGCCACGCTGGCACATGAACAGGTGCGTGATCCTGAGTGGCTGCTTTGTTGGTCTTGTTCACAGCCTTCATTGATGTTCTGTATGGTAATTATTACTCTGTAGAATATCCTTTTTTTTTCAACCTGTTCTGTTATTCACTTTCCTCTCTCACAGTTTTGTTCCCAGTTGCTTTATTTCGAACTTTTGGATCCTTGCTTTCTCCTCCCTTTGCACCGCTTCGATGTGACGGAATCTACTCCCTCGCACTCCAGGCACGGGCCGAGCAGGCGGAGAAGGAAGCGGAGTCGGCCAAGGCGGCCTGGACGTGCCGCATCTGCCTCGCTGCTGACGTCAGCGCGGTGCTGGTGCCATGCGGGCACGTGCTGTGCGCCAGCTGTATTGCCAGCGTGCACCGCTGCCCCTTCTGCCGCTCCCACGTGGTGCAGACAGTGCGCCTCTTCAGACCATAGGATTCAAATAGTGCGTTCATGTAGGCCATAGGATCTAATCTGTGCCTGCCCAGGCCGTAGTCAAACCGTATTATACATATCGTAGCAGCAGGGCCCGTGCTAGGATTTGGGGCACCCTGAGGCCTCAGGGCACCTTTCCGGAATCGTAAAAAATGCCCTGATTTGTCAGGGCAAATTTTCGAAGCCTTCCTGTATGTTGAGGGCTTTTTCAGAAATCAATCCTGACCTGTCAGGGCAAAAAACCCTGTGTTCAGGGTTCAGATTGGTTGGTTGACAGAGTTAAAGTTAAAGAACGGGGTGGGTTTCGATCCCAGGACCTTATCTATCGGAAGTATCTTTCTACTGACTAGGCCACTTCTGGATGGTTCGATGGATGAATAAGTATTTCAAGGTCGTTTTGCGTACGCAGACAAAAATCCCCGGGGAAAATTTCCCCAGGTACGGGACGGGACTCCCCCCCCCCCCAACAAAAAACACGTCAGGGCAGGCCTCTGCATTCATCCTGACGCTACAGGGAAGAACACTAAAGCCATTCTGAATGTTCAGGGCATTTTATATAACAACATCCTGAGACCTCAGGGTAAAAATTTACACTATTCTGAAATGACAGGGTAAATTCAAAACTGCATCCTGAATTCAGGGTAATCAGGATGTTTTGCCCTGATAACGTGGGGCCTGCGTAGCAGAGTCAAGTGTTTTACGTATTTTTACCCAAGGCTACGGTATTATTCATTTACCCAGTGTAACATTTGAGCTTCGCGTTTACGACTGCTGCCAAGTAGGCATCACAATTGGCTGACCTGCTGGTGTATAATGGAGATGTGCCCTTGTGTCGATGCACCCTCACCCTCACACTGTTCAGTCAGTACAGATGACAGCCCATGTACAGCAAGCGTATCAGCGCCTTGTAGCAGGATAGAATTCTGCTTTGCAGAGCTCTGGCACTGGCCTGTGCATATGAACATCTCTGTTAAATTCACAGCCCATGGAACAGACATGTATTTCAGAGAATGATACGGTACAAGCCTTTGCCACAATCCAACATCAAACAACCACCCGAACTTCCTTGACTTCTGGCCTGTACCAACCATCCAACTTCCATCCTCACCACTCTCAACTCCTCCACAAAATCCACCACACCATGGCCACTGCTCATCTCCTGCCGCCCTTCTTGGCCGGCGCCTTGGACTTCTTAACAATAACGATTTCGCCCTTATCGAGGACGGGGATCTTGGACATGGTGCCGAGGGCGCCGTACCGCTGGTTGAACTTGTCCACTCGCCCCGCCTCCGTCAGCAGCGTGTTCTTGCTGCCCTGGAACAGCGGGTGGTTGCCTGCAGGCAGAGAGGAGGGGATTGAGAGGTGGGGGGGAGGGGGAAGAGGGGTCAAGAGGCGGGAAGGGGATTTCAGTATACAGGGACAGGTCAAGTGTAGATTCGCCCTGCCTCTGTCAGCAGCGTGCTCTTGCTGCCCTGGAACAGCGGGTGGTTGCCTGCAGGCAGAGAGGAGGGGATTGAGAGGTGGGGGGGAGGGGGAAGAGGGGTCAAGAGGCGGGAAGGGGATTTCAGTATACAGGGACAGGTCAAGTGTAGATTCGCCCTGCCTCTGTCAGCAGCGTGCTCTTGCTGCCCTGGAACAGCGGGTGGTTTCTCAGAGGGAAGGAGGGAGGGATGGGCATGACGGGGAGATGAGAGAAACTTGGTACACAGGCACATGAGTAATCAATAACCGAGTGTCCACTCGCCCTGCCTCCGCCAGCAGCGTGCTTTGCTGCTCAGAACCAGCGGGTAGTTGCCTGCAGGAGAAAAGAAAGCAGCGGAAAGGGAGCACAAAGGGCTTGTCAGGACTCCATTCGCCCTCTAGTTCAGATTGCCTGGGTCAGGATCGTGTGTTCTTACTGCCCCAAAATGCGGGAACAAAGGGGCGTTAGAGATGTCCAAGAACCCATTAGCGCGCGCGGGGGGGGGGGGGGGGGGAAGAGGGGGGGAAGGGAGGGGAAGGGGGGGGGATCAAAGAGTGAGCTTGTCTGTGGGCCTGTCTCATGGCTTGCGGGTTGCTGTCATGGAACAAGGAGCGGTAGTCTGATGCGCAGGAGTGCTGGGGAGAGTGAAGAATGCCAGGCTAAGTAGAAGCGAGCTATCAATGCAATTCCCCCTCGAGAGACGCGCGATTACATAAGTCCAGACAATTGATGCACCGCTTTCCCGCTTCTTTGGGAACATTGCTTCCATATTCTATACAACCGGACAGCGCGTCGAACGTCTCTCGGCTCTCCAACCGGACGCACTGCATGAAACACTGATTCGAGGACGCGTAATAGCTGCATCCCGCGACTACCACTTGTTGCATTACAATAACTACCACGCGTAATAACTCCATCCTTATCGTCGCCATTTGATGCTCGACCGTAACTGAGCTTCCTAAGTCGTGAAACCCGGAGTCTTCTCATCAGCTCTCACGATCAACATTTCAAATGCCAGCACACGGAAGCTACTCTAGAAGCAACCCGAGCCTGACAGAACGTCAGTCTAGGCGACTAAACGTCATAAGATGTGACGACCCGTCAGCCTAGACCGAACGGCAGCGTATCGACGACCCGTCAGCCTAACCTGTGCATTCAAAGACGGCGCTAACTGACGACGTATTCCTGTACGTGCCCAACTCGACATTGCAAAACACTTTATACTCATTGTAAGACTTCGGGTGAACGCCCTTGCACGACAGCCCTACCTGACCAGACGTCGACGACGTATTTCTCCTGCGTGCCCATGGTGGTCATCACCTCCTCGCCATTGCAGAACACTTTATCCTCGTTATATAAATGAATGCTGTCCGAGAACCCTACCTGACCAGACGTCGACGACGTATTTCTCCTGCGTGCCCATGGTGGTCATCACCTCCTCGCCATTGCAGAACACTTTCGACTCCTTATAGAACTTGGGGTGGATGCCCTCCTTCTTGCACACCACGCGCGCCTCGCCGCGTTGCGCCTGAGAGATGGAAATTCGCGAAATGAGAATAATGAGATACACTAGAGCATCATTTACGGGTCCATCTTAAGTGAAGATCGGAGAAAAGTGTCTCCTTCTTACACACCATGCGCGCCTCGCCGCGTTGCGCCTGAAAAGGTGTAAAGAGTCATGAAATAACACGAGAGCACAAAATTGGCTCCTATTCAGCTCTAACTGGAAAATGGAGTCAATTCTCTCTTTCTTGCACTCCCCGCGTGACTCGCCGCGTTACGCGTGCTTATCCCAGGGTGACTCGAGGCGGAAATAAGAGGGGCCGCTGAAAGCCTGACCGAGTGAGAGATGCGTCGACTAAAAGGGTACCTCGCCGCACTGTCCGGATATACGAATGCACATAAACGCAATACGGATAATAGCTAATCTGGCTAAATACAGTCAAACATAGCCTTTTGCATTCATACCGTCGCTGGCAACCATATACCACTGTCTTGGCTTATACTGGAAGCTAAAAAAGCGCTAACCTGAAGGTTTTGACGGCCAGCAAAAGCAGCGGAAGACACGGCGCCGAGGACGGACGCGTCGCAGCGGAGGGTGGCCATGGCTGAAGACTAAGCGGCTTCAAACAGGCAGCGATATCACGACCTAGCAACCTTGAAGTCCGAAGCCCGAAACCTCGAGTTAGGAGGCCAAACGAGGTGCTATGGATGTATCCTGTGAAACTTGGGCTCAGATGGAAGTACGGGTGGAAAACGTGCTTTGGTGGAAATTAGGGTTTCGAGTATGAAAAAGAGCAAGTTGTTGCGGGAGAGGGAGGCTGGAAGGCGGTTACTTACGTAAGTCTCGGTAAGTCCTGTTAAGTGATACTTACGCAAGAGTAGGGGCGGGGTGGTGCGGGGCTGGCGGTTGGAATGGCGGAGGCTGGGTGGAGGATGCAGCTGCGGGAACCGAACAGCGGGGGGGCCCGCAGCGGAAGCGGGGCGCTCTGGTTGAGGGAAGTTCGACGGCTTGGATGCAAGGTTGCGACTTCAACATATGGCTGACGTACGACGACGTGGCGCCATCGCCACGTCATCCCAGTACCAACTTCCAAATTTTCTTCTCGAGATAGGATGACAGCGTGGTATGAAACAGTTGTTTCATCTCTCCCTAATATCAAAATCTCCAAAGCTTTATACACGAAGAACAATGGAAGAAACAACAAACTAGTCACAATAACTTAGTTGCAAACATCACATCGGCAGCTTCACAATAGTAAGCAGCCTGTTGGTTCTGGCACATGAATCGTAACCCTCTTGAATGTACATGTAAGCTTGGATTTTTTTCGCACATTATAAGGCCTGCCTGCCTCTCTTGAATGTGGCAACTGCTTAAAGCCCGAGTCTAGAATGGCAAGGGTTCAAGTTCAAGATTCTTGAACATGATTTCGCCTAAGAACATGGTAACCCGCCTTTTTGTGGTGTTCTCTCGCGATCCACTGTGAAGGGGTTTGAAGCGCATGAATGTGATTGGCCAAAAGCACCACAGTAAAACCACTGACGACCCTCGCCAGAACAAACAAAAATCGTGACTGCTGTTCATACTTCTGGAAACTTGAAACATGAAGCTGTTGAGAATATGTTTGTATGCTTTTATTATAAGTGCACTGTTCGAAGTGTGTTTACAGGGGCTCGCCATAGCGAGGGATTTGAACCTGGTGGCGAGTCAACGGGCCGCAACCGAGCACAGCGGTTGCGACCCGCGTGGCAACTCAAGAATCGAATCGACAGCAGGAGTCATCGTCTACAGTACGCGAAACTGACCTGTAGGGCGCGGCAGGATACCGCGCCCTTGCCGAAGCTGAAAAGTCTCGCCAGCGCGACTGTAACAAGGCAACCCAAGCGACGCAGCGCAACTGTTATACAGTTGCGCCTTTGTTATGAATGAACTTGCAGAGTGCGCAGAATATCGAATAACGAGAATGAACTGATTACCGAATGACGATACAATGAGAAAGGCACGACTAAATAGGGGAAGTCCTAGCTAGGCGGAGAGGTTGGGCGAGGATGGCTCGGTGATGGTTGCGATTGGAGCGGAGGCGACTCGGGAGTGGTTCGGTGCGACGAAATAGGAAAGACAGGTTCGTCGCGTGACCCTCGTGATGGCCTCGCTAACGAGTGCATCAGTAAGGATTCTGTAAATCCTTACACTCTCCCACCTTCTAAATAAGGCAGTCCTGTACTGAAAACGGACCCCACACTAGCAAGGATGCCGTAGATCTCCCCTTCAGCTGAATCCGACGGCCGAAATGTCTTCGATAATATTTTTGAAAAGGTTGGAAGGTAGGCCGTTGATCTCGGCGCACCTTGCCGTAAAACCGGGAAGTCCCCACGTAAACACTCCGAAATTGTTGCTCGAATCAAACCCCGTAATGCCGCAGTTGCAGTTGCAGTTCGCCTCCGAAAATCTCGGACGTGCTATAGCCGCCCACTCGGTCACCATCGTCAAAACTGCTCCCGTCGATGTCGCTTAACAAAAATTCATGTTTCTCCCGTTGACTCCGTCGTCAAAACTGCTCCCGTCGATGTCGCTTAACAAAAATTCATGTTTCTCCCACCAGCGCTTTGCAGATGTTTCACCACATCGCTCGTCGCCGGTCGATAGATCCCAAAGCTACGATTGCTCCCACGCTCCCCTTTTTCTGAAGAATTTCCCGAGGTGTGCGTTTAAACACCGGGGGTCCTAGGTATCCTTGCCGTTGTGTTTCTTGCCAGGCAACTTCGAAAAGTGCCCTTCAGGCGAAGTCCCCCAACGACTCAACCGCACTCCAAGAAGCGAAGAAATACCCGCAGCTTCATAATTTTTTGGTCGTTTCACCCCCCGACAATTCCGCTTCCCGCCGTTCACCCAGCGTCCGCATTTTTCGGATGAGGTATAGTCGGTGTTGCCCGCACGAACCCAGCCACGGTGGAGAAGAAAAGTCTATCGGAGTCGGGTTTACCTTAGTTAAAAGGAAATCATTCCCAACCGCTTTGCAGCCCACCGTGCCGTCGCGCCACTAAAACTCCACAGCTCCCGGTCCCAGCTTCGCCGCTGCGCCGTTACCTCGTGTAGACGCCCGGGTCAGGAGAAACCAGCGAACTGCACCATTGTTGTTATGCGGCGCCCCGATTTTTTCACGTGCTGTTTCACCCAGCCCGCTTTTGTCGGAGTAGAACAGTGCCGCAACTCCCTTTTTTTGTTTTTTCTGTACAGCTGTTGAACGAGCACCAACCCAGGTGCCTTTAACCAGCGCAGGGTAGGCCCGTGTTCACCCCCGTTATTCGGCCAAGTAAGTTGATTGCATGAGTCAGAACTAAAACTTGGTGGGGATGGTGAGGTTCGGGCGACGGAAGGTCACAGATCGTTCACACCGGCTTTTAACCTGCCCTTCACGCCGTTCTTCAACCCCCGCTTAGCCGTCGGGCAGTTTCTTCTCGTGTGTCCCGGCGGCCTGTACCACTCTCCTCCGTAACTGTCGGCGTGGTACCTTGAACACCGTTTAATCGTGGGCTGTTGAGGCTGTCCCCGAAAATGACTTCCTTACAGGGAATCCACTCTCGAAATTGCCGGCCAGCAGTCAACAGTACCAGGCACGCAGCGTCATCCGAGTGTTCTTCGGGGTGTATGGGCCCGAATTGCCCTCGCCGCCTGCGTCCCACACCTCCTGAGTGCGATTTAGCCACTCCGTTTTCTGTTGCAACCCGTAAGTGTCGGCGGGTCTGAAGTTCCCGTCTGTCCACGTGCACTCCTGCCGAAATACTCGACGACGCGCCCACCATGCAGTAAAAGCCGCTGCACTTCAGGTCCGGCGGGACGACAGTTGACCCCGCACAATTCGGGCAATTCGCGTGTCGTCTCTCCTCGTCCACCGATATTTTCGGACGCAAACTCCATTTGCGCCTGGCGAGTTCCCCAGCCGACTTTTTCTTCAACAGAAGCTCCGAAAATGTCGCCCTTGCTGACGCAGGCCCTTTGTCGCCAGCTGCCGAAGATCTTTCCGAAATCTTCGCGTAACTGTTGACTCAGGTCCGCCGGCGTCAACAGCCACACACAGTGACGACGTCGAGGCTGTTCATGCAGATGTCGACGCAGGTCCGCTGACGCCAGCTGCCACACGAATAAACCTACGAAATCGTCGGAAATCGCAGCGGAAATTACTCACATAAACGTCGCGACAGCTACTGCTGCCTGTTGCCCGGGGGGAGGGAGGCCACGGTCGATCGCGACCGTTCGAGGCAAGGATCTGGCGGTGCCGAAGGAGTTCCCGTAAAACCATGGCCGCGAGGAGCAACTAACTCGTGAGAAGAAACGAGGAATGGGAATGACTAAGGGAAAGTTGGGTACAAAATGCAAACCCTAGAAAACTGTACCCCATATGTGCTACCCCACTATAGCCTACAGTAGCTCTGTCATATAAATCTGACACACCCCCATAGGCAAAGTGGGGGAGAACAAGGGGTCACAAGACCAGTCAAGCAAAGCAAAGCAAGCTCAGGGTGGATCACAAAGTCACCACACATTCCGAGCACAGGTTCAAGGCCACAAGGCCAGTTCACATGTAGGATTACACATATATATAAGGCTAGACAAGCAAGAGCAGGTGTATATATATATGCAACAGTACAAACAAGGTCAGGGGGTGAGCAAGTGAGGCAAGGTAGGCACAAGGCCCAGCTGAGTACATAAACGCTGATGATAACAAGGCGCAAGTGCCTTGGTGAAGATATCAGCAGTGTTGGCCTGAGAGGCCACGTACGCAAGCCGCAGCTGACCACGCTGCTGTAGCTCACGAGCAAGGAAGTAGCGGAGAGCAATGTGCTTCGTTCTGTGCTCCAGTCTCTGCTCTCGACACAAGGCCAGCATGGCCTTGTTGTCTACGTACAGCACTGGAGGAGAACGAGGCGGCTCTCCGAGGTCAGTCAGCAGGTAGGTGAGCCAGCGAAGCTCCTGTGCAGCCATGGCCCCGGCGTAGATCTCAGCCTCACAACTGGAGCCTAGAACAGAAGACGAGCGGGTAGCCCTGTGACGACCGCTGCGTAGCCTGGTCGTCAGCCCAAGAAGCGTCTGCGTGCCCAGTGAGGACCACTGGACTCTGCCCTCCAAGCACAAGCCCCATGCCCGACGTACTGCACAAGTAACGCAACACCCTCTTCGCTGCAGCCATGTGCTCCGGTCTGTGTCTCCCAGGAGCAACATAGCGTGCGAGAATGCTAAGAGGGTATGCGAGGTCAGGTCGTGTGCAGGTCATCAGGTACATGAGGCAGCCAACAAGCTCTGGGTATGGGCCACTCGACTCTACGGACTTATCCGAAGGCAGAGCTGAGAGCGAGTGGCGAGTAGGCAGAGGAGTGGCCTGAGGCGAGGAGTACGTGAAGCCGAAGCGCTGAAGGACCTGCTGCACCATGTGTGACTGAGTCAGGGTAATGGTGCGGCGTGCTCTGTCCCGGGTGATCTGCAAGCCAAGGTAGCTGCGCAGTTCACCCAGGTCTGTGCACGTGTGTCTCTTCTGCAGCACGTGGGCGAGTCCAGCAGTGTCAGCTGTGGCAAAGACCAAGTCGTCGACGTACACGAGGATGTAGAA